TTCCTGCCTAGTCAAAACTGAATAACAGATATCTGCAATTGTCATTTATGATATGTGATGAGTTGAATGTCGCTTACAATGACACCCGTAACGTTCAATCCATTTTCTTCTGCTTCTTCCGGGCCGAGTTGCGGGGCAGCAGGGACTCCCAGACTTCCTTCACCCCAGACACTTCCTCCAACTCCTCCGGGAGGACCCCGAGTTGATCCCATTTCAGCTGACATACTGTATTTTCAGGACTATTGAGCGCACCTGAATATAAGCCGAATCCACAAAATTTTTATTCAATTTAAAAATTTTACATATATAGGCTGCACCTGAATAGAAGGTGCATGTCTCCATGTCTTCAAGAACGTTTTCAATTCGGGCCATCTTTTTTTATTGCCTCTGAAAGTTTTTGTTGTCCTTTTACTTTGTGTCAGTTTGTCACTCTGCCATCACCAAAATCTCACCATCGACTCAATGATGCCGAGCTCACGTGCAGCAGCTCTATTTCCTTCTTGGACAGCCACATCAGTCGCCTTTAACTTAAAAGCTGCATCATCTGCATTTCTTTGTGTGTTCTACATGAGGAGTGTGTGCGCATGAAGCACAAAATGTGTTCAAAACACAATCAAACAAGCATCTTCCTCAACGCATCACCCCCGTCTCTCCCCGCACTCTACTGCACATGTCTCCTGCAGAAAGAGCCACTGTCCTGTCTGGTATGTCAGTGTCTTGTAGAATTTCAGTAGATTTCAGGCTCTCCCGGGGCTCGGCTAGTTGTATCAATCAGGTATGAGTGGATGTCCGGCTACTGAATTTTGAGACGTTTCTTCTCATCATTTACACACTCACCTACATTTAATGCATACATGTAAGACGTATCCCCTTCACTAATGTTCATTTAGCATCATATCATATCATTTATCACACACCGATAAATTGTGCGCTGACAACAATGCTAGCCAACGCTGCAACTTCATGTTAATCCTGGATCGATGTGTTAACCGCACAGACAGCAGCACTTTCTTCACTCAGGCTACATGCACATCCGCTGTGTTGCCAAACCATAGACCGTATATATGAATGAACAATGTGCCAAAAATAATCCGTCCATATATTAGCCGAATTGTTGTATAAGATGCAGGGTTCAAAGTGTGAGAAAAAAGTAGTGGCTTATAGTCTCTCCAGCATGCCCTAGGTCTTCCCTGGGGCCTCCTTCCGATGGGACATACCCAGAACACCTACCCAGGGAGGCATTCAGGAGGCATCTGTAACAGATGTCTGAGCCACCTCAGCTGGCTCCTCTTGACGTGGAGGAGCAGCAGCTCTACTCCGAGCTCCTCCCATGTGGCTGAGCTCCTCACCCTATTTCTAAAGGAGCGCCCAGCCATCCTCTGGAGGAAACTCATTTTGGCCACTTGTATCCATGTTGTCCCTGTGGTCATTACGCATAGCTCATGACCATAGGTAGGAATGTAGATTGACCGGTAAATCGAGAGCTTTGCCTTTCGGCTCAGCTCCCTCTTCACCACAACGGTCCGATACAGTGACCGCATCACTACGTCGGTAGTGAATGAATAAATGCTACATACAGTAGATATGTTTAATGTCATACCATGGAACATGCCAGGCAAAGCTATAACATCTCCATGGAGACAAGTAGAAGACAAGAAGGTAGGGGACCCTCCACCAGAAAAGTTGCTCAACACCCTTTAAATATAGTTCTGAGATAGAAGATTCTTCATTTGAGGTAGGTCCAATTTTGTTCAAATGAGTATCACATTTTAATGGGCTTATTTCTTTGCTTCAAACCCAATTACACAAATTTACATTGGTGTGGCTTCATCTTTAACTCAAAGGGATTATGTCAAAAGAATATTTTAAAGATAAGATTGTACTCCTTTATATGTAATGAAAAAGGGGATGAATTAAACTGATCACAGAGCCCCATTTTGGCCCATCCAAACTGGGAACAAGTTCGACCCAATCTCTCAAGCATCAGACCATAATCACATTTGACATTGGACGATGAACAAACAAGGATGTTATCAGTGAGATCTAAGAGGAGAGGAAAGCCAAACTGATTTGCTTATTAGACAGAGATGCCCAGGCAGCACTGACCTTCGAAGGACCACATTTCAAAGCAACCTCTTGGCTGCTTATACTGCTCAAATAAAGCAGAAGCGGACTCTAACCTTTTTCACACCACAAATGCTTAAGTGCTGACATTAAGTCAGTCCTTATGAGCTGAATGACTTTAATGGCTGCTCCCCATAGAATATGTCAATGTAATTATAATTGAATGCCATTTCAGATTTGTAATACATGCTATGTGATTTAATTAGGCATTGTTAAAAAGGCGGGTGGGTGTGGGGATTTCTTGGTTTTTGACAGGTTAATTATCAAGGATGGTGCACAGTCATAGAAACAAACTAACTAACCAAGCTTATTTGAACCTTAATCTTTTGCTACTCTGTGCAGGATTGAAATGATACAATTCAGCACAAACAGGTTAGACTGATGCTTAGTCTACCTTCACCAAAATATTAAATATACAAAACCATTTTACATGATATGAAAGTTCTTTTTGTCATTTAATTTTAGAGAAAATATTATGTTATATGCATATCCAAAATAGAACAAGTAAAGTAAGTACAAAGAAATTTTTAAGGCTGAGCAACTGATTCAGTAATTTTGTCATTCATCAAAGTATAGTATCTTTTTAATCGAGAGGTCAACAGGTCAGTAAGAGCATGTGGTTTGGAGAACAGTTGTGAATTGAAACTGGACTATTTTCTAATGGTTAGTGGTAATGGCAAGTCTGCCTTAATGTTCAGGAAATTAATACTGAAAGATATTTTTATTTGTTTGTAAATGGTCACATTTTTCTATAGCGCTTTTTCCACCTTCAAGGCACTCAAAGCGCTTTACAACAAGGAACCACTCACCCATTCATACACCAGTGTACGCAGACACTGTGGACAAGGTGGGTTAAGTGTCTTGCCCAAGGGTGGGAGCTGGAATCACACCAGTCAACCTGTGGGTCAGTGGATCTGGCCGCTCAACCTGAGATGTTTATGTCGAGAGCTGGATTCGAACCACCAACCTTCAGATCAGTGGGCGAATGCTCTACCAACTGAGCTACTGTCGCCCGCAGTAAGACTATTCTGATTATTCTTTTTTTAGTTTTTCAATTTAGTTAGTATTTTTGGAGCGTGTAAGCGAATACATTTTTTACTCAGATTTGATTTTTCTTACTTTTTAGGTGGATTATTAAAGCAAAAATATAAAAACTAGTTTATATCACACGAGAGACAGTGCATGTAATGCAGCATACCATGAAGGCAGTATTAGCACAACAATTCAATTACATTCATGTGTGGGAACATTTGATTGGGTAATTTACATTTCTACTGCTAAACACTAGAATATGAAAATTAGCTGTCAGTCTTATTGGTGCCAGTATTAGGATATGCTTCATTTGAATTTCACTGATATTAGAGGTTCTATCACACAACTTACGATTTTTTTCTTTCATCCCAAAATGTAGTTGCCTGTATTTGCCTTACCTTGTCTAATCGGATTACAACCTAAGACCTTGTACAGGGTCTGATGGCATTTTGAGGATTAAGACCAGTGTAAGTGACTCCTGCCCTGTTTCTGAGTGAATGGGGCAAAAAACAGCATAGTATACAAAAATGTGCAATAGTTTGAAATGGCATGGACCTGAAAGGCTTATCACAGAACATTCCCCAGCATCAGCCACTAAGAACAAGGAAGGGTAAAAGACCCGACAAGGTTGGGTGTAAGAACAAAGTCGGGTAAAAGACCATCAACAGAACTGTAGGACTTCTACAGTCCTACAGTGTTGATTTTCCCTTATCCACCTGAATTTGTGGGTTTATAGAGCTTAGCAATCAAAGCATCAAAGTTTAAAAACAAGGTATCAAAGGTGTGTGCGGAGATCTAGACGATACACGAGACAACTATACCCTACAGTTTTTTCTGAAAATATCCTCATACCCAACATTCTTCACAAGGACCAACCACATCTGGTGCACACCGGGCAATGAGGGTCTATAAAATTGTGTAGCCTAGAGCTGATTTAGTTTTTATAGCCTGAACCTGAACTGGCTATGAAGTCACTAAAGCAAACTAGAGAGCATTTTTCATAGACTGCACGCAGCTGAGGGTGGAGCAGCGTGCAGGCAGATATCATTACAAACATATAAAGGTGCAGAGTAGACAAAAAGCCATGGTGATCTCTGTAATGGCAACACAGAGCCTAACTTACACAGTACATGAAGGGTTAAGAAATAATGAAAAAATAGCAATGCAAAGTAAAAAAAAAAAAAGAAAAAAAAAAGTTGCTTAACCAAAACCAGCTCCAAAAGAAACACATTTTGGTTACAAATTAAGACTTTTGAAATCCACTGGTACATCTTTTTTCTTTAGCAAATATTGGGTAATTTTTCAAGTAATGGTGTTATTATCATCAGTAAAAAGTTGAGAGAAACTACTCACTAGTTATTTTTTCAGAATAGGCCAGATTCAAATTCCTAGGAGACAAGTGGCAAACTGAACTTGTCTATGCAAATGTCACATTCTTATCTCCCAGTGCATGCAGAGCTTCCCATGTGGAGCCAATGGGAGACCTTGAAGCTGCCTGGAGGGATCTTACAGCGAAACAAGGACTCATTTAAGTTAAAAAAGTTAGCTCTAAGAGATTAAACCAAGCATGTCTGGTATGCTTATTGAACAATTGTTGTCAGACTCCCCACCACAGACACACCACAAAATATTTCTCAACCCGAACGCGTAAACCTGGCAGGCAGCATATACACACTGGCGGAATATTACAGACATGGACTGAGCTCTATCAATGTTGGACTTTCCGAATTCACGAAAACCTCCAAAGTAATGATAGCCTGCAGTATTTCCCGAACTCCACTCCCCTTGAAGATAGTTCAGTAGAACTTTACGCACCAAACGCAACGATAAGTATGGCAACTTACCGACTCCGTATTTCTCCTTTTTAGTGGGAATCCAGCGGGTCATAGTGGAAAGTTGTGTTGATTGGAGAATAAATAAATATATACACTTGTTAAAAAGGGAGGACTGGCGGGCGGTGCACTCCTGAGCGTCCCGAAGTCCTACAGTTCCGCCATCATGACTTGTGTTGTTGCGAGGGGGAGGGAGGAGCGGTGCGAGGAAAATACTGGATAGGCGTGAACCACAAAAACTACAACCCCTGCAATTAGTGCTTCAGTTATTTGTCTCAGTTGTACCCATAAACACATAACCTACTTTTTTTTTTTTTTTCTTCACCACATTACCAGCGAACCATTTACAACGAGCTGAACTCTCAAATTCCCTAAAGCAATTCCCTTCCTTGTAAACTGTAATCTTTATGGGAATTATGCAATAAATCACTTGTTCCTAAAGAAATTATTAATATGATTTTCATTTTAATTTCAGATATGATGGAGTTCCCAGTCAGTGCACGTGGCAGATTTTTATGCGCGCAGTATTCTGACCTCTGATGCGTCCTACTTGTTCTTTCAAATATAGTTTATCCTAGCACACTTATCTTTCAGCCAGGCTCCAGCAAGGTTGGTTAATCACCTTACGTTTGAATAGGTCTGCGCTTTTCCTTTCCAAGTTTCATCTCCAAGCATTCCAGTATTTAAGGGAGGCTATCTTAATATTAATGCTGCAGTTCTAAGTCTGTGACCTTAGGTGAACAGCTATTGACTCTGGCCTGCATTGCACTTAGCCTTTTGGTTGGTCATCGCTTGCTTTTTTGCTGCCACTTGCCAGGCTGCCAAATGGTGTTGTCAATAATGTTGTGCTTTTGTTGTTCTCTTTGACAGGACATTACGCGTTTTCATTCTTTGAGGCATGACTGTCACCAAAGGCTTGTGTGGGGAATTAAGCCACTATATTACAACACGGTGAGTGACTGATATCTGCCCTTGATCTAAACATCCTCGTAGACAATCACAGCAAAAATATTAGTACTGAATACATCTAAAGAATTAGGCCTGCACTGTATGTACAGTTTTAAATGGTAAAGTCACTCTCACTCGTACTATATAAAGGTCTTTGCTTCTAATGACCCGCATGAACACTTTTCACAGAGTTATAGCCTGGCCCTAGACAAAATGTATTTCTATAAATCTATAAACCAATTTTTACTGCAAGGCTCTCTTTCCACCCCCTGCTGTGAATCGCATTTTGCTCAAAAGACAACCTCTTCTTAATATGAAAAAATAGAAGCTATTGACAATGCTATAACAATCAATTCTTCTAAAAAGAATGCAAGGTTGCCACCACCTGACGGCTTTGTGCCATTGCATACAAAATTAGTTGTGACAACCAAGTAACCAGTCTATGAACTTGACATAAAATTTAAGGAAACCAATTTAGTGAGACATTAAAAAAAAAGATAAAATAAACAGTGTAATAAGCATTAGCAGCATTATTAGTATTATTTCTGTTACAGTATTAGTTGTGTAGTAGTGGTGGGGTAGTAGTAGTAGTAGTAATAGTAGTAGTTACTTAGATTATATTGGAATATTGCTCTTTGTTTGTATTTGTACTGGAGATTTGTAAAGAAAGGTCAGCTATATATGAAAAATTCAATTCCTTCATCATGGTCTGTTTTCACAACAATGGGATATGAGCCTGCAGCATAAAAGAACAGAAAAAAGCATATTGTCCAGTGGTGCATTGACTGTACTGTAAATTCTGTGCCATAACAGATTACTCTTTTCACTTTCATGGAGTAAGTGAAGAAGCGTGCAAGTGTTGAGATTGTTGGAAGATCAGCGTTGAGCCCATGAAGTGTTTTCATCTGTAAATATGGCTATGTGGTCTGTTTACTTCGCCTAAGGGCTTCTCAGCGTGCCATCGGACAGTGCAAGGTGAATTAAGTTTTAGCATCTTATAAAATACGCCCTTTACACATCTCCATCTTTGAATTCATTTCCTGCACAGGCATATGAATGAGATGACTGCTTATGTTGTAAGAAAAGAGAAGAAAGTAGATCCAGAGTATAGAATAAAAACTTCAGTATTAGTTTATGCCTTGACATTACCATGCTCATTGAACTGTGCCATTCCTGTTGTGAAAGTCAGTTCTTAAGAGGTGTCTGAGAGGCAGGGTTCCCGGCGCTGCTTGTAGTCCCCACTGAGGTGTTCAATTCTCGAGACAAAAGCAGACATAAGGCCTAATGGATTTATGGGTAGCCTGCCAGGCCTGTGCCATGCCAGAGGCGAATTAGCTGGTCCTGCGCTTCCAGCCCACCTGCACCTGCCATTCTGCCAAGACACGCAGGTACCAGGCTGAGCAGTGAGCCTAGGTGCACAATGAAGGACCATAGCTGAACAAAGACTATACATAAAAAGAAACACACTGCCCATTTAAATATTTTATTCATTATACACATGTGAATCAGGAGTGTAACTAACAATTATATTAAAGGTGACTAGTCAGCAATATTTTTTGTTTTTTTTCAATTAGTCAGCTAGTCAAAAGGTTATTTCTATTTCACAATTTATAAATATATTTTTATTTTCAATCATGGTGACTGAAGGCTTCCATATAGAAAATATTACAAATGATAAATTAAATGTTTTATATAGATACAAATCAGAAATAGCTTATTTATAGACCTTTGATTTAATGTCACTGTCTTTGTTATAAAAGCTTAGGTGGAATGTATGCTTTTGTATAGTTGAGATGAAGATGATGATTACCAAAATTACGCTATTTTAATTGTGGACCAGTCACGAATATTCTGATTAATCGTTGCAGCCCTGTTATGAATTATATAGTTCTGAATGAGCTCAAATTTGTACCTGCCTTGATAACATTGTTAGTGTTAACTATTGATGATTAAGACTCTTGTCAAAATAAGTTATGCATCATAAATGCTGTCACATCCAGAAATGTAGATGTGTTTCATCTAGTTCAATTACAGTTTCCAATATGACTACATTATTAAATGGCTTGGTGGCCTAATCTAAGAAAGTCATGAAGTGTTTTCTAGGGTTTTATTCTTCCTCTATGTAATTGTCCAACCTATATATATTTAATTGCAATTGAACTAGAATGAAGTTTAAAATCAGTATTTTCAGTTTCTATATCAACCACTTTTGGTCCCATATCCACAATCTTTGGAATAATCAGCTACATTTATGAAAATCATGCTTCCACTACATTGCCATTATAGCATTCTGGAGTGCTTTTGAAGTGATCCATTTAGGTTCAGACTAGCATTACATTTCCAGGCTTTGATGCATGGGAAAGTACCTGCCTGAGGCTCCATCATTTGTCATCATCTACCTCTACCAAACACCTCTTCTTGTAGTGCATACATAAGAGTTGCTAAATTGTGGTATATTTTTTCACCATGCATTTCTAGAGCAAATAGAAGGTCATTTGTTAATATCTGCCTTTAGGCCAATGTGACAGCTTGTTCAGAGTTGTAATTAGGCATTTGCATGTATCAGCAGAGGGAGCCACAAGTCTTATCTAAAAACCTGTGCTTTCTTCAGTGCAGAAAACTGAGCTTGGCAGTGTCACATCCCAAAAGGCAAACTCCTGCTTCACACTTACAGCCTGGACAGGATCCAATATGGCCTCTCTGGGGATGTGCAGACTCTTGTCTACAATTAAACAGGGACAGTAAGAGTGACAAATGCCTCTCTCAAGGTGAAAGTCTAATTCCTTTTTGAGACTTGCAAAACATTAATCTGCGGGTTTATAAATCTGTGTTCAATAAGAGCTGCTGTGAGTGGAACTGCCAGTTTTCTCCTGCAGCTCTCCGCCCCAGTATTAGCTCAGCACTGAACTCAAAGGTCAAGATATGGACAAAAGAACAAAACAACTCAAGACCCTTGCTCCCTCTCAGATTGCATTACATTTTTAAATTCATTTAAATTTCATATTTGTATGCTAGAAAGGAAAGTCATTCTTTTGTACAGTTGCAGTGTTGATTGTTGTTTAAATCCTTTCCTTGTCCATTCTTAGTGATAAATCATCTTATTCATCTTATAAAGTGCCCTTGCTGATGCTTCTTAAAGGTGTACTAACTTTCCTGGTGGAAGGTCCGCTGCCTGCTTGTTTCCATGGAGATGTTCTCAGAATTAGAATAAATTTTATTACCATTGTCAGTGTCAACACAATTCACAAAAGTAGCTTTGCCTGAAATAACACCACATTTCAGTTCCATTTATGTATTGCCACTGCACACAGTACATTCAACCTTGTCAAGTAGTATTTTAAAGCAAACTAAATGTTATAAATTATACATAATTATATAAATGGATTATTACACAACTGTATAAAGTTTATTACTGAGAAAACCTAGGTAATAAGTATAAACTATGTTATTGTTTAGTTTGTTTGAGAGTTAGACATTTCTGTATTGGACTTTAGAGATGTACCTCACATAGACTTGTGCTGTTCCCACAAGAGAGACATTGACTTATATAGGAAATATACCTCAGTCTCTTTCTAAAGGTGTCACATTAAATAGAAAGGGAATAAAACCCAAACTTTGGAAGAAGATGAAATGTTAAAAAAATTACCCAAGTTTCATATAGGGACTTAGGCTCCAGAGCATATTCAGATAAGATAAGCTTTTGGACTCCCATGAGGAACACAAACTATATATATGAGCATGTGTATATGAGTTTTCTTATACTGGGCACTGCAGAATTTACTTATAAGCAATAGAATATTATCTTGGTGCCACAGTACCTTTCTAATCAGTAGGAAAAACATTTACAGTATTGCTTTATCGCATTTGACGTAAGTCTAAAGGGATGTGCATGCCTAAGGAAAATTTATTGCAAAGTAGAATTCCCAATGATTATAGTGCTGCTGGAATGGCTCTCTGTTGCAATACAGAGCAACGGAAGGAGGAAGATGGTATTGTGTGGCTGCTAGGGGTGAGGTGAATTCAGGACAGGGGTAAAGGTGGAGGCAGTTTCTATGTTATGTTGACATGCAACTGTGTCTCCAGCCTTGTCTGATCTGAACAAGATCTAATGCATCTTAACACATTTGTGACTGAGGAGTCTTGATCATACGCATTTCAGTGACTGACCAGTGGTGGATGAAGTACTCAATTTTGTTACTTAAGTAAAAGTACAGATACAAGGGAAAGAAGTTACCCAAATAAAAGTAGATTTTAGTGAAGTAAAAGTAAAAAAAATCCACTGTAAAATGTACTTAAGTAAAGTACAGATACCTTAAGTTTGTACTTAGATATTTAGCTTTTTACTTTTGTACTTTGTTATCTTCCACCACTGTGACTGAATATGAACAAAAAACTAAGGTCAATAATATATCTTAGATTAAATAATTTTCAGTTTTAGTCAAATTAGGTTGGTGCAAAAATTTGTCTTCTAGGCATGGAATAAACAAGTTGGCAACGTTTGGCAACGCCAATCTTTTTCCATTCTTCAGCAGTGACGTCTTTGATGGATGCTCAACTTGTTTCTTCAGAATTCCCCAAAGATATTCAATTGGGTTCAGATCTGGTGACATACTTGGCCACTGAATCAATCTTACCCTGTTCCTCTTCAGAAAGCCAGCACTGGCCTTAGATGTATGTTAAGGGTCATTGTCATGTTGGAAAAGTGCACGACGACCAAAAGTGATGGAAGCATCTTCATTTTCAGTATAGAGCAATACATTTCTGAATTCATGATGCCATCAATGGAACACCAGCAGCACTCATGCAACACCACATAAGGACACTACCCTCTCCATGTTTCACCGTAGGTACCATACTTTTTTTTTTGTATTCCTCACCTTTTAGATACCATACAGCTTTTAAGGCTTCAGTTCCAAAAAGATAGATCTTGCTCTTATCACTCCAGAGTATAAAGTCCTAGTAGCCTTCTTTGCCAGCATGAGCCCTGGCAAACTCTAGACGTGCTTTTTTGTGACTGGACAAAACTTATGCATGCCATTCCTCCTCTCTATACAGCATATTGTGTCACGGGAAACTGTCACCCCACTTTGGCTCTCTACTTCTTTAGATAATTGCCTGCCAATTTTCTTCAACCCTTCTCATCAGAAGACGCTCCTGTCAGGGTGTTAACTTTCATGGCCGACCTGGACATCTCTCTGAGATTATTGCAGTTCTATCTTTCTTAAATTTTTGAACCACTTTTGCAACAGTATTCTTACTAATAAGTAAAGAAAAAAGAAATAATTTTCTTTCTCAGGTCTCATGTCATTTCTTTTCCATGTAGTGCCATTGCTGACAGCAGGAGATGGGAAGGGGCTTGTTTTAAGTCACACCCTTTTGTATCTGACTGTCTAATGGACACCTGTGGAATAAGTCATTAGACTGACCTCTGGCTGAATGCTTATTCAATTCCACATTTGCAGCCTAAAATGTAGTTTTCCTCTGAGATTTTCAGTGGATTGGACTCATTTTTGTACCACTCTAATTTGACTAAAACTGAAACTTATGTAATCTAAGTTATATTATTAATCTTAGAGTTTGTGTCAAGTTCAACAAATGCGGTATTAAAATTAGTTTGTGCACATTTTGAAAAAGCATAAAATTTGAATCACTGGTACAAAATGTTGATCTATAGTTAGAAATTTTATTTTATTTTTTTAATAACCCTATTATTATCTGCTGTTTCAATCGTATTCTTCTTCTCTGTCTCTTCTTACTCCTGCCTCTCATCTCCTACTTCTTCTTCACCATCCTCCTCTTTTTCCTCTTCCACTTCACCTCCATGCCCTACATCTTCATTATCGCCATTATGGTCTTCACCCTCTGCTTTTACATTGTCAAAATTCATCTAATCTAAGATTGCTTAGAAAAGTGGCACATGGGCTTCAAGTGGATTTCTTTGAGAGACATTCAAGTGGAACAGAGTGATATTTTTTCATTTGCCTTACTTATTATTGCCATTATACAAATCAATTCAAAAGCAGTGGAGTACAACAGAATAACAAGGTTAGGACAAAAATATGTGATTTATGTGTATTTCACACTTAAATCTGATCAATCTGACCCTTGGGACTGCATTGTTCTGTTTCAGTTTAAGGTTCGGGATGGACACAAAGATTACCTCTGTGGCTGAGCTTTTTACACAAGCATGTAATGTGTTGCTGAGTACTTTTTAAAGTTCTAATATTTGTAAAAAATTGAGTGAATGCCATAGGAAGGCAATTTGACACAGATTTGAATTAGTGTTAATACAGGATTACTCAAACATGCATGAATCTGAGGGAAGGTCGATATAATAGGCATATATACCATATGATTAATTCACACACCTTATGAATGACCCTGGTTTGTACATGTGAGTAAACCTAGATGCAAACATGTGCATTACAGACATTGCTATTTGTTACATGCATCATCTTACACATTTTAAATCCAGTATGTTGTACTTATGGAGAAAAAGCGAACTTTACGTGTTTCAGTTAATTTATATGGTCAACTTGCCTTTTAGAATAGCGACCTAGAGGAAGCCCCTGGTGTACCCGCCTCTTTAGTTGCATATAAAAATGTGTCTGTCCTCCATCAAGGTTTAGTACACTGCCTGTATCCTCACTGCACCTCCCCTCTCCTTCACTAATGCAATAATGAAATGTGCCCCCCTCTGTCTCCTTCCCTTGCCATCCTCTTGCCTGAGTTGACGCTTAGCCAGACTCCTTTGGTGCAGCTGAGTCACAGAGCCCAGTGTGCATTGGGTGATTTATGGACAGTGATGTGGGAGAAGCAAAAAAGCACTGGTGTCAGCTCTGTGATCTCCCAGACACTGTATAGTATCCGGGCATAGACGACTTGCTGACTGCTGCTCAAATACAGACCTCCCCTTTCTTTTGTCTGCACACTGGAAAAAAATAGCCCCAAGCACAAGATGACAGCTAATTTACAATTTTGTTCGATAAGATGCCCTTTCTGGTCGCTAATATGTGTAAAATAATGCATTCTCATTTTACGGATTGGTTTGGTAAACAGTCCAAAGCTGCTGACTCGGCTGCTTTGCTGTGCTTTCGGCCACAATTGTGAACTGATTTATTCTTACAAATACTGCTACACACTTTAAAATTTTAGATGTATGCTCTTTCCATTACCCTCAATTATGGAATGTCTCAGAAGTAGAAAGGAGTTAATTTGAATATTGCATGTGGCTTTAGGGGAATGATTATAATGATTATTTATGGGTAATATGCAAAAAATAGGTGTATCTGTGTAACCTGCAGTATTGTATGGTAAAGAAATAAAGGCAATGACAAATTAAATGGTCTCAAGATTTATTACATTTTGATATACCATTTTATTTATAGCACCCAGGACTATAGCATAGTTATTTTAAGGCTTTAGGGACATTGATCAGTTTCCTTCGAAACTGTGTATACACAGAGGCGGTTGCTTGCCTTCACTCTAATATATAACTTTCACAGATTCAGTTCAAACCACTGGTTCTTAAACTGTGGTGCATTTTGTAAAGTCGAGAACAGGTCAAACCCTCATTTAGTTTCATTTTGATTCATTTTGGTTTGGTTGAGGTTAACTCAATTGTTAAACATGATGGCAGTGTAACTTTTGTCTTAAGGCTAATGCCTTAGTAAGCCAGGCTTATGTTTGAATCCACATGTAGCTTACTCACTATAGACAAAAATGGAAACGATGCATTAGTTTGGAACCTAAATGAACAATATAAAACAAACTCATAAACAAACAAAATAAGCCTGGTGTAAGCTGTAAGGCCAGCCACTTCAGTGGGACATTCTTCTGGATGAGTTGAGATGTAGGGCCATTGTATATTATGCTGATATTTGAAAATGCTGACATTTGAAAATCCTGGTATTTTCTACAGTGGTGCTTGAAATTCAAAGTTTGAGAATCACTGGTAGATAGATCTACAGCAGGAAAAGTTACACCTTTTGATCTGTTGTTTCAGTTTTCTTCTCAGTCTCCACTGACTCTTTGGATTCCTTTTCCTCCTGCCCTTCATCTCCTACTTCTCCGTCACCATCCTCCTCTTTTTCCTCTTCCTGTTCACCTCCATCCCCTCCATCTCCATCATCACCATCATGGATTTCATCCTCTGCTTCTACATTTTCTGAATCAAGTACAAAGGTTCTTTAGAAATATGGCACATGGGTGTATTTTTAAGATCATTCAAGTGGAACATACTATATTAACAAATTATATGTTTCCATCTGCCTCACTCATTATTGTCATTATACAATTCAATATAAAATCAGTGGTGTAAACTGGATAACAAACTGTAGGACACACATATCCCACTAGCCCAGTGTGTCACAACCAATTTGTGCTTCTGGTCTTGCTGTTGGAATTGGAGCTGTATTATTTATTGCTTTGCAAAATATTTAAGACATCAAGATAGTTACCTTCCCCAGCATTTTCCTCGGTCTGTTCTGTTTCAGTTTGAGATGAAAAAAAGAGTCAAGTAAAGGCAAATTTAAAAAACAGGCATGAATGTATCTATTAACTATAAATAATTATACCTTCACCCTCTTCTTCTACTTTTTCTTCCTCTTCTCCTGTTTAGAGTCAGTAAAGACAAATTTAAAACTGGTTATGAGCGCATGTGTATTAGAGTGTTAAACTGTACCTTTACCCCCTTCTTCTACTTGTTCTTCCTCTTCTCCTGTTAGAAATGGTAAAGACAAATTTAAAAATGGTTATAAGCGTATGTGTATTAAAGAGTGTAAACAAATTGTACCTTCATCCCCTGCTTCTTCTTGTTCTTCTTCCTTTGGTTCCATCCTCTGAACAGATAATACTCAATATTTAGTGTAAAAAAATACCCAAACAAAAATTTTTATTGAACCATCTTGATCACTACCTCCTCTCCATCTTCCTCCCCATCTTCCTCCCCATCTTCCTCTTCAGGCTCATTGGGTGGACTGGTCTCTGCCTGCTGTGCCTGGCTGGAGGATATTTTTTCCTCGGTGGAAAGTGTGGATGAGTACCACCGGGAGGAGCAAAGCAGAGTACCACCAGGAGGAGCAGAGCAGAGCAGAAGTTGGCCATATGGGGGACTGCTGTACACGGTCTGGGAGTAGACACTGTGAGCTGGAACTGACACATTCAAACGGCTCTCCTCACCTTCCAGCAACTTCCTGACATACAAGGTACATCACATTCACAAGGTGTTCTTCATGATATTGAGGATTGCAATGCATGTTTAGACTTACTGTAGCTCGCAATCAAGTGAAAAATGCAAGCTAAATAAATGCTACTATACACAACAAATAGATCAAATAGAAATTAATAAAATATAAAAACTAATAACAAAAAAGAGAAAAAGTTTACACTTTACAAATTTAAGTTGTTACCTATATGCTGCAATCTCAATATCTAAAGCCATCTTCACATTGAGCAGCTCTTGATAATCTTTCAAATAATGAGCCATGTCAGCTTTGTTTGCCCGGAGGTCATCCTCCAATTGATTTATGGTATCCTGTAAAGAGAAAGACAATATATTATAAATTATTCACAAATGAACTTGGGCAGTGGTGGTACCTATCTTAGTGGAGCTTATTTTTAGTTTAACATACATCACATTTTATTGTATTTTATTATTTGTTTAAAATTAGCTGTTTTAGACCTATATTCATTAGACGTGACTTTAAATAATCCTAGCATTTAGCAATGATTATGTTCAAGTATTTTTGCTACGCATTGTCTGTTTGAGTTGTATCTGACCTGAAGTGCTTGAACTTCAGCACTTTGTTTCTCCTCCACTTCTTGTATTTGGTTTTCCAGAGCTTGGTTCATTTCCCTACAGGCTTCAATCTCCAGGGATCTGGCATTGAGCAGTCTGCGATACTCTCCGGCCTCATCTTTGGCACTTCTGGCACTTTCTGTGTCATGTGCGCTGCCCACAGTCATGACTTTGATCTTGTTGGTGAACCACTCCTCAGCTGACTGCAGGTTGTGCTGGGCCAACTTCTCATACTGGAGTCGAATGTCCCGCAAAGAGGTGGAGAGGTCTGGTTTGGCTACCTCCATTTCTACTGTCACCTCCGCAGTGTAGTGGATATGAGCTTGGAGTTCGGCCATCTCGCTCTCACATACACGCTTCAAGAAATCAAGCTCATCCAGGAGATTCCCAACCTTCTTCTCCAACTCAGCCTGCCCCAATGCTGCTTTATCTGCTCCCTTCCTAGCATTCATCATATGCCCCTCTGCCTCCTCTCTGGCCAGGACTTCATCTTCATATTGCTTTTGCATGTTTTGAAACACATGCTCCAGTTGGTCCTTGTGATCCTGGGCTGCTTGCTTCTCACTTCTGGCTCCATCTAGCACTGCATGAAGCTGGTGGATCTCTTGCTCATAAAGGGCCCTCAAGTTGGATGGCTGGGTCTGCCTTTGTCTAAGTAGCAGAAGCTCAGTCTCCAATAGCTTATTCTGTTGCTCCAAATCATGCACCCTGTCAATAAAACTGGCAAAGCGGTCATTGAGGTCCTGCAGCTCAGCTTTTTCTTGGGTCCTCAAAACTTTGAACTCAGAGCTGACCTGGGCTGCTTGGTCAAGACGTAAATCGGTCACAGCTGCAGTCACCGGTGCAGAAAGCGGTACAGGGCTAGAAATAACACGGCTGTGCATGGGATAACTTCTGCGTGATGAAGCAAAAGAAAAAGGGGCAGAGTAGCTTGAATAAGTGGACCTTGATCCTATTCCTCCATCATATCTTGCATGGAGCCCAACCACTCTTCTTTTGTAAGTGGATGGATAAAAAGGGTCTAAGCCGCGGGAAGACATGATTGTAGATGGGCTGCTCTAGTCTTGACTACACAGTGTATCTGCATTACAAGAGCTTTTATAAAGTCTGTAATGACAGTGACGTAAGCTGTTTTTTTTTTTTTTTTTCTGCAGGCTTGCTGACTTGAAGGGAATAGAAAATGGTGCCAGCCAGTCATCCCCAGCCAAGTAGAGATGGGGTGGGGTGAGGATGAGAGTGCATTGAGCAGCCGAAGTGATGGAGCTGTAAGTAGCTGCAACAGAAGGGTCACTGAGGACAGAAAGGAATGAATCAGTCCTGTTTCTATTGTCCTATTATTATTGCTCTCATTAAAGCTGGTTCATGGTTCAACACTTTCTCTATTGTATCCATAACTCCCTAATATAGTCAGGTTTTCTGAATGGGCTAAAAAGAAAAGTAAAACTGTTCATTTACCCATTACTGCAGCCAAATCCAAAAATTAAGTTGTCACAGAACATTTGATGCTAAATCAAAGCCTAGAACTTAAAATATTCATCTAGCAATTTAATAAAAGTATGACCCCTACTGGTTATAAATATGCATGCACTCTATTTTGTATTGGATTTATTTAAGTTAATTTTATTTTCCCAATTTGCAAACTATTGCCCTTTATTATAAATACTTTTTTTTAATAATGAGGGAAATGTTACCTGTCTAATTAGTTAGCCTAATTAGATTGCTAACATAGACTCTTGGAAGCTTATGAATGTAAAACTACAACTGCGGGGTACTTATAGGTCTAAAGCCTGTGATTATTTATCTTTATTTATTTATCTTCAAAAGGTGCATCCACCCAGTGTACCACATCTTTGAAGCATCTTTAACCATTTTGGATAAAACGGTTTCTTATACTTGCTGATATTATTGGCCAGATACAAACGCCCTCAACTGTTTAACCAATCAGGGCGCATTTTGTTACTTGGCGCGTTGCAAAGTGTCACGTCGTGACGTAAAGTGTCTCAGCAGCCAGCATGACAAACAACAAAGGAATATGATGAAAATGTGAAGTTGCGAATTTGTATTTGCTGGGCTTGATTTTTGAAGCTTTGACGCTTGATGCTTTTGTGCATTAAAGTGCTATCACTACTGCAAAATCGGCAATGAATGGTAGGTCCAGTTGCATATCTTTGTACATCCCTACATTGTGGCTAGCTCAGATAAGATGCTATGCAGCTAACGTTATCAAAAAGTACTGTGCAGATGTTATTTTGTGCTGTCGTCATGTACCCATCTTTACGACTGTCCTTGAACGTTGCTGATATTGTTAGGTCATTTTAAAGCATCCCATTCACGACTGCTTTCTACATTTGATTAGATGCAAATTAGCACATTTCTCCGAGGGTTATCCCATATCATGGGGTCTCGATCTGTCTGTCTGTGTAAGGGATGTTAAATGACGTATGTTTATGTCGTTGCATTGTGTTTTTCCAGATATTATCTCTGATAAATAGCCAAGGGACGAACAGCTACCAAATTGACCAAAATGGTAAGAAAAACACTTGATAATAGAGTAGCGCATTCTGTTATTTTTAACAGTGAATGCATTTCATTACATGTAATTCGATTCTTAATATGATCATTAATGCACTGTTATTCCTCTATGCACCTTGTGTTGTTATGCCCAGATTCGTATAGCAGCATTGAATGCTTCTTTGTCAGCGGCAGATGAGTCTCAAGACCCTTTGAAAAGTTCAAAGAGTCAGACCAAAGAGGCTCAGGTACAGACAATATTGTAAGGAAATATATAAGGTCAATGTGCTCTATAAATGTCTATAAACTGATTTATTTTACAGGAAGCCGAAGCTTTTGCTTTATATCATAAGGCTTTGGATCTGCAAAAACACGACAAGTTTGAGGAGTCTGCGAAGGCTTATCATGAGCTTCTTAAAACTCCATTGCTTAAAGAGGTAACTATTGATAACTCCCTAAATAGCTAAAGTGTCAGTAATATTGAATGAGTCTTGCATAATAACAGTCATAATTTTGACAATGGCTTATGTTTTAAGGCAATGCCAGCAGAGGATCAAAGAGTGGCTCTTAAGCATCCTGGTCTTATGCTGAAGTATTCAACTTTCAAAAACTTGGCGAGTATGGCCGCTTCGAGGGATGATCTTGAGACAGCCATGGACTTCTACTTAGAGGTAACAAAGAAGTGCCTACATAACAATAATGTGCTTACTGTTGATTGTCAATAATTAGTTACATATTTATTTTTTAGGCAGTGATGCTGGACTCCACTGACGTAAACATGTGGTATAAGATTGGGCTGGTGGCTGTGCGCCTTGTTCGTATTCCCTTGGCCCGCCATGCTTTTGAAGAGGGGTTACACTGTAACCCAGACCATTGGCCCTGTCTGGATAATCTCATTACTATATTATACACTCTCTGTGATTACACATGTATGTTTAAATGTTTGCATGTAACTTAATTCAACATTTTGCTGCTGTGGTCATGTATGTAACTACATTTATTGTACGCTGTCTTTTCAGGTTGTTTGTACTTTATTGCAAAAGCACTTGAGAAAGATCACTGTTACACTAAAGCGCTGGTGCTAAAGGAGAAGATATTTGCAGAACAGCCTAGTCTGAGAAGAGATACCACTCAGATGTTTAAAAAATGGTGAATTAGTTAATACAATAACTATGCTGTTATTTTATTACATGAATCTAAATAAAGATGTATTTGTCCTCTTTGCAGTGAGATGTCTATTCACTATGTTGAAGTGGAGGATGAAGAGCGTAAGTCTATTGTAGAAGAGGCCTTGGAGTTAAGGAGACGAAGGCGGGCTCTCTCATACTGTGAACCACCAGCAGATCTTGTCCTGATTCAACCTATTCGCTGTCTCTCGTAAGTGCAACAATGTCATATTTTAAAGTTTACATAAAAGGTTTACTTTCCTGTTGTTGTTTAGCTGGAAGCATGTGGGTGAAAGCCTACTAGCAATGTACAGACATCAGACGACCTGTGAACCACCTAGACCCAGTCTAGGAAGAAGAATTGATTTGTCGGAGTACCGTGATCCCAACTTTCTTGAAAATCTGCCTCAGCCAAAAAGTCCAGTGAGCATCAGCCAAACTACTGCTGTCAGCAGCAGCCCAAGCTCTTCTCTTCCACCTCTTACTTTTTCTGAACCAGTAGTGACACCACAAACCAGCTCTCAACCTCCCATTATTCCCACTCTCACCACTGTTGAGGTGGCCTCCACCACAGTACCATCTGTTGGTGAGTTTGAAGTAGCCAAGCCTTTCTTGTACACGCATGCACATTTTCTTAAACGATAATCTTGTAATGTTTCCACAGCCTCAATAATGGAAGTAAAGAAGCCACAAAAAAGAAAGCGCACAACTGACGAAAATGTAGATACAGCAAAGAGGCGCTCAGCTCGTGTCAGAAACACGAAATGCAAAAAGGAAGAGAAAATAGATTTCCAGGAACTGCTTTTCAAATTTCTACCGTCGAGGTACTTATACGCAGATATTATAACATAGTATGAACTGTAATTGATTAGTGATTTGGTTGGTTCCATTTAGATTGAAGAAGTTTGACCCAGATGATGATGAGAGTTTAAGTAATCTTGATGCACAGTGCAATGGCAAGGAAGATCTACAGCAAATACAAAGTGGCTGCATGCAGGTGGACATTATAGAATACATGGAAACTGGTAAGCAAAGTGTCACCAAGGCAGTACTGAAAATAACTGCAGTGTATTTACACATTGTATTTTGGTTTCATAGAAAAACAGGATGTCCGTAACTTCCTGCTGAACAGCATGAACAATGGAGGTATTCTTGATCTGCTAATGCGTTATCTCAAAGCTGTTGGTCAGAGGTTTTTGGAGAACTGGCCTCGTGGTTTGACTTCTGTGGTACTGGAGGTGTACCAGACCTGGAGGAAGCATAGCACTGGTCTCCCCAACCCACTGCTCCGGGACTGCAGTAACCAACACATCAGGGTACACACTCAATTTGTGATTTTTATTTATGCATTTGTTTTGAATATATCGATAATGATTAGCAGAAGATGTTTTTGTAAACCAAGGGAAATGTGTATCAGCTGAGTATCAGCCCAATGTGAAAGGACTGTAAAATTACCCACAAACATGCAGTAATATCATTTTTCAACCTTGGATACATTTTTTCTTCAGCTCTTTTTGCACTATTTTGACAATAGTATCAATAATTTGATGTATTCCTCTTCTCTGCCTGTAACTCCTCTAAATTTGTAGTTAATTTGCTTAAAGGTTGTATGGAGGATTTTTTTAAAGTTTCAAATTGTCAATGAAAGTTTAAAATACCATTACAGAGACGCAGCAGCCTTGTAATTATGATGACCAAAAAAAAAAAAAAAGAATGAAAATCTATCAACTGTGGACGTAGTGAGGCCAGATAAACATCAGCCAATAGATAACGAGGCTGCCTCATTTTCTATTGGCTGTTAGGTTGTCAATCAAACTCCCTATGTTTCTAGTGTAACTGACTCGTCAGCGTGAGGGGATTACGTGGTTTATGCAGCGGTTCTTAGAGGCTTTTTAAAACAGTAGCTTCCTTGCAATTCGCACAAAGTTTGTTGTGATGGCCGACGAGAGTCCACAACCAGTTCGCTGCAAAAGAAAGTCAATTTTTGAGGTCGCTGAAAGAAGAAGAGAAGGGGAAAAGGAGCAAAGCCAAACTGAGGTGATTCTTGGAAATTCCTTCCAGCGATGGCGCGGCTGAAGCAGACAAAGTGTCTAAAAACTGATGCATCGGTCGCTAAATTATTTCTATTTCGCATGCACAACATTTAAAAAAGGACTGTCGCTGTATTTCTCTTTCCTTAAAAAATCCTCTATACAACCTTTAAGATGTGATGTGACAGAGAGCAGCAAAATATTATACATTGCCCAGGAAATGTCTTTTCACTGACAAATTTAAAATTGGAGGAAATCTTTTTGTTGTGTTCTTAAAAGATAGTTATATCCTTTTGACTTGTGCTTGCAGGAAATGTTGACTATCTGCTTGGCATGTATGGAGCTTCAGTTGGAGCAGTGGTTACATAGTAAGGGTAAAAATGGTGAGTTAATGCTTATTGATTCCAAAACAATATTTATATGTAGTAGCATCCAGTGTATTTTATTGATAAACTGTAATGGCATAATTTTCTTTTCATTTTACTAGTCTCACCAAGAAGAAGCAGCATCAATGGCAGCAGTGAAGCTGCTGACTCCGATTCCCCTGGACAGCAGTATCAGGGCGATTTGTTCATTCTGGCTCTAGGTTCATCTCAAAAGGACCTTTTTGAAGACGACTGGATTGATGTCATGGTGCGTGTCTACTGGCTCAAGGCACGCTACTTGGCCCTGCAGGTACAGCAATCTTTGTTCTGTATTCATGGACTTTTGGGCAGTTTATTTCTTATCATACTTGATTCAGCAGCCCCAAGTCTCACCTTTTAAAGACTCATGGTTTCTTATCAGGGAGACATGGAGTTGGCTTCCGAGAGTTACGATGAGTGTCTTAGCTGGCTCCAGTCTAAACCAAAGACTTCAGAAGGAAAATATGACACAATCACCCTGCCAAATCTACGCATGGACGCAACCATCTCTGTAGAGGAGGTGGGGATTTGGTTGGCTATTTCATGTTGTATGTCAGTAATGTGTTGTTAAGATGGTGACAGGAAAGTAACTGTGCTACTGTCATGAAACCAGCTAATTACAGCTTTGAACATCTCTGAAACATACTGTTTTACATTGCATTACATTAGTCAGCATGTCAAGTAAATTGAGTTTATTTGGTGAAATACAGCAAAATGCACATTTGTTGGACTTTCTATTTGGTCATGTATTTATTTTAAAATGGAAAAGCAGCATATTGGTTGATGACATGTTGTACCACAAAGTGAGATTTCAGTATTATGTAATCAAATAAAGTGACACATTTTCCTACTCCATTAACAGATTGACAAGAGGCTGAAGTCCTTGGAGCGCTGTCAGTCTCTGGAGGAGATCCAGCGTCTCTTTGAATCTGCAGACTACGCTTCTGTTGTGCTCTTGTTGCAGCCCACACTTAATTATGGCAACAGAAGTAAGCCCCTAGAGTTTGTGAGCTCTGCACCAGAACGACCTGCTCAACTAATGCTTTTACAGGTTGGCTTTGCTACCTAACATTCCACTGTAACCATGGCATTTTGATATATGCCATAAAGGTGTTTGGTGTGATGTTGCTTGTCTGTTTGTTTTTTTCTTTCAGAACTCATTATTGAGGATGAAAGAATACCAGCAGTGTTTGGAGTACAGTGAGCTCTCCCTTAACGAGTCTCTACAACAGCTAACATCTGCATCACCCACTTCTAATCCCAGTAAAGAAGAGTGGGTCAACACCATTGGGAAGCTGTTGGATGGCATAGAGCTCTGTTTCAATAAAGATGCAGAACTGCTTAAAAATGTCCCCCGCTACTCAAGTATGGCTCGACTGGCTAACAATCTAATTCAGGTAAAGACACTTATATATAATATAATATAATATGATATAATGTAATATAATATAATATAATATATTATATTACATTATATTATAATATATTATAATATAATATAAGCCACTGATTTAATGTAAATCTTAACTTTATGATGTGAGATAAAATAACTTTAATGGCAGAAGCCAGCATTTGTTCCTCATGTGCCTTCCATGCACTTCCACTTATCAGTGTAGGCAGGAAACAGTGGTGAAGAGCTTCTTTAGAAGCTGTCCTAGCCCAGGTGTCTAACCTTCAGTCAGAATGTTTATTGCCATTGTCAGTGAACAGAAATTCAGAAAAAAATGTCAAACTAGCACTTAATCTAAAGTCTAGATCTTATCTCTGTTATGTTCTTTTCAGCTGATTGATCTTAGCATGGCCATTTCTGATGACCCCAAGGAACCATTTTTCTTCTCAGTCCTGCCGTGGATAATCTTATATCGCATTATCAAACACGAAGAAGCCGCTTTTGATTGCATGCTTAGACAGCACATGTCTATGGGAGATGAAGAAGGTTTGTTCACTGGTTGTTTTCCCTTAGTGACCATGTCTTGATGCCTTTTACGTTGTGTAACCCAGTCAGGTCTCTTATAGATGACTCAGACACTCCCATGCTGCCCTCCTCCTTTATGCTTCTCAGTACTGCCCATGAGTATCTTGGCCGCCGCTCAATGTGTTGCAATTCTAATGGTGCACTTCTCAAATTTTTTGTAAGTTATAGCTGTACATTTCTGCAGATGCTACATTACCTTAGGCATTTGTTGAAAAGATGCTTCAGTGTTACACAACATGAGGCAAAAATGTTTGAAAACTTTTATTTTTATGTAGGTTGGTGTTGTGGAAAAAGAATCTGCTGCTTGCCAAAGTGAGGCACATCCCTACAGAGAGGAATTGGAGGTTGCTTTAGAACAATGCTTTTACTGCCTGTATGCTTACCCAGTAAAAAGAGCAAAGCACGCTACCTTGAAGACCACTCTAGTCCTCAGGTAACTTTCTTATTCACATCATACTTAAGTTGACAATGATTTTAATCTGTTACGCTGTTCTTTAACATAGTCTCTTTACAGTGACACAATTTGTGTTTTTGTAATGTAATATTCTGTCCACCAGAGGTCTCATATGAACATTGTCCATATACCAGTACTTACAATACATAGGAATAAATGTGAAGCAGCTCATCTTTTGTATGTAGATTTTTGGGGGATAATGATGAAATATGTTTGGTTTTTTTGTTTTTTTTAGGTTGAGTTAATGTGGTGTGATGCCCTGTCCATGTTCCAGTATTTTAAACCAAAGTCATTGCCTGAGTTTGACAGTTATAAGACAAGTACTGTGTCGGCAGACCTTGCCAATCTTCTCAGGAGATTTTCTGGTATTGCTCCCATCAATGACACGCCAACACTGAATGTGGAGGAGGTAGCTGCCTATATTGAAGGCAATAATGAGAAGGTCAGTGCCTATATTTTTGATGTGACTTAAATCTTAAATGTCTTTGTTTCTTTACTTATTTTACTTGTTTTGTTTTTTAAGATCCCTGGTTTTCCAGAGGGCACTCCTCCAGCACCACCAATCATCAATGAAATGTATTACCTGCTTGCAGATTATCATTTCAAGAACAAGGAGCAGTCCAAAGCCATCAAGTTCTACATGCATGACATCTGCGTCTGTCCAAACAGGTTATTCAGATTATCCTCTATCAATGTGATTATTTCCCTATTGTTGTCTGTAACACAATGAGAAATATAATCTGTCTTCTTTCAGGTTTGATTCTTGGGCGGGTATGGCTTTAGCTAGGGCCAGCCGTATTCAGGAAAAACTCAACTCCAATGAATTGAAAAGTGATGTGCCCATATGGAAACACTCACAGGCAGTACTTAACTGCTTTAAGAGAGCCCTTGAGATTGACAGTTCCAACCTGTCTCTGTGGATTGAGTACGGGACCATCTCATATGCACTCCACTCCTTTGCCTCTCGACAGCTCAAACAGTGGCGCAATGAGCTTCCCTCAGAGGTTGTCAAACAGGTGACTCTTTTGTTTACTTAAGGTTATCACTGACATTATTCATTAATGGACTGGAGTTATTCAGTTCAATGTTCCACTGTTTTTAAGATCTGCATAGGTAAATTCAAATGCAAAATGTCTCATACCTATTTTAGTGCTGCTTTTATTAACTTCACATTACTTCACTGCTATTTTATAAGAAGACGGTAATGTCTACTCTGTTGAAAGAGTTCTTGCTAGCTAATAGAGCTGATCCAAATTTGACCAACCAAATATGGCATCCTAACACTATGTCATCACTTGTAGTTTGTTGCTTGCTTATCTATCTGATGATCTGCCACTGTGAGCTAAATTACTCATGAATGGCCTGCTTGTGTGTTTGTGGTGCTCAGATGGAGGAGCGGAGAGACTCCATGTTGGAGACAGCGCTGCAGTGTTTCCAGGGTGCTTCCCGTTGTGAGGGTGACAGTGATGAGGAGGAGTGGCTCATTCACTACATGCTCGGAAAGATTGCAGAGAAACGCAAGCAGCCTCCAGTGGACTATCTGCAGCTTTATAAAAAAGTAAGTGGTCACCATTTTTGTCATTTAAATGCAAAATACTGCCTACGCCTACATCTTGCTTTCCTAAAAATGTGGTATACACTGTAACGCTGTGCAGATGTTTTAGGCAGGTTGATAAAATTATGTTAACTTGAATGATATTTACTGTATCTTTCAGTAAGCCAATAAATAATAAGCAAAAGAACAAGGCATAAATTTGTTGAGTCTGTTACATTGTTCCTTCATTAGGGGTCAGTAAAAGAACAAAGAATATGTTTAACTGTGTTCATATTATAATTAGAGATCTGTAAATTAGTATTAGTTTTGGAAAATCTTGAACTCCATCATCCACCTATTAAACTTCAGTGGTCTGCCCTCTTTTGTGTGATTTAATAATATTACATTTCTATCTGTCTATTTTGTAATTTGGACTATATGGATTGAATTCGACTTGGACAACCGTTATTGATCCACAAGAGAAATTACTTAACTTTTCATATTTTACCCAACATAGTAATCACTGTATTTTGAAATGGACAATGCCCATGTATTTTTAGATAAATATTTAGCCTATGTTGTTTAATCATTACTAATTAAACAAGTTAATTGAATCAAACAAAATGGCCCACAGCAACATTTATGTGTAAATAATAATAATTATAATTGCTGTCAGTGACTGAAGAGGATACTGTGAGGCAGGTGAAAAAGGCGCTGACCCATCTTAAGTGCTCTATCTTGCCAAAATATGAATTAATTATTATTAATGAATTATTAATTAATTGTTTAATATTACGCCTCGGGTCCCCCGGAGGAGCTGGAACGTGTCTGGGGTGAAGGAAGTCTGGAGTCCCTGCTTAGGCTGCTCCCCCCGCGACCCGGCCCCGATAAGCGGACGAAAATGGATGGATGGATGGATGTTTAATATTAATTTAAATGCGTCATTAGCATCTGTCTTATTTCATAGTCTGCAAACTATTTACATGAAGAAGCTGCCAGATACCCACGGAAAATCCACTATCACAATCCTCCTGACTTGGCTATGGAGGCCCTGGAGGTAAACTAGCTGTTCATTCATAACATTCTTGTATAACATTTTTGAAAAGAAGAGAAAAAAGAAAAACAAGTACTAGTAATTGGTCTAGAAAATGTATGTAAAGCTAATTCATAATGTTTTGGATAAATTTATATTGTTTCTCACAGCTACATTTTCGGCTCAGTGCAACAATTCTAAAACTTTTGGAGAGTGGTGTCTCTGATTTGGACCATGAGCTTTTCTTTAGTTTGTTGGTGGAGGCTGCTACAGGACCATTTGCAAAAGGAGAAGAGAAAAGTGTGCCCAGTGTGCCGAGATCCAATGAAAAGTAAGCCATTTTAGAGATATATAACAGTAATACTCCAAAATATGTATAAGGATTATTTCAACAAAGATGGTTACATTTATTATTGTTTCTTTTATAAAAAGGTCAAATAAATCCATGCAAAATTCCCAAGCTTCCCAAGCTTCCAATGAAAATAGAAATTTCTTATATCTTCAGGCTTTATTGCTGCTCAGTTAGGGCTGTACTATTAATTGTAATTGAATTGGTGTCTCAATTGATTTGGCAGAATTATCACATTGTAACGGCTGGTTTTAATTACTGCACAAGAACAATATCCATCTTATTATAGAAATATCTTGCTTATATATTTTAGACCTACAAATGTTGTGAAATGCTCTGGATTTGTTTACAATGTGCACCCTGAACAGAATGCTGTTCAGTACTCCTGATTGGTGATTTACTTGGAATATTCTCATGACATTTTTTCAGGGAGAAGCCAGTCTCCATAGCAGATGAGGATTTCACCAGCTCCTCGGTTTGCATAGGAAATGTGCTAAGCTCGTCCCTCCCGTCGGCAGCCACCCCAGGTCTGACATCCCCTCCTTATGTGGCCACGCCGTCTGACCACGATTACGCCAAACGCAAAACACTCCGACGGCAGCAGTGGCAGCAACAGCGGCATGAGGAGCAGCAGGCCGATGGTACAGTCCCAGGCCTAGACACTGTCTCTGGGGTTTGGGCCCTATGCTCTGTCCACGCTGGGACACGTGGCCTTTGGGGGGCGCACAGAACGCTGTTCACCATGCTTAATGGCTTTGGTTTCAGTTACAATAATCCCCCTTTGAACTGGGTGATTGGGATGTGGTGAAATGGGCAATATGGCTAGGAATTATTTCACCCCTTTATTTTACATAGTGCCCAGTCTGTCACAAAAGTGGTTCACACAAGTCAGAAAACTTGTGCTGCTTTCAAACTTGGACAAGTGAATGTGTTTTTGTGTATCTACTACTAAAGAAAGACACTAATCACCACATGCTAGGATACAGTGAAAAGATTTATACTGATTTTATATTGCACATTTCTTTCACTCAGTAAAAAGATTTCAGGCCTCTTGGGGAAAAGAAAATAATGATCATACATTGCATAGTGATACATACATACTTTCAAAACATTTTTAAATATCCAATAATGTAATCTTGTAACCTTCAAATGGAAAACTTTTAGAGTGAATTTGTTTCACCTGTTATCCGAGTGGGTTCTTCAGTTCATTGAAAATATTTTATTTGCTCAACAGGGAGTGCTAGCAAACAGTACTTTTCTATGGTGTAGGATTTTGATCTTCCTTACATACAAACATTTAAGAAAGTCTTTTTTACAGACTTACTTACATTTATTCAGTAGTTGGTTTGTGTAATGATCAGTGGAACATCTTTTCCTTGTTGCAGTTAGCTGTGTAAATAATGCCGTCATATTGCCCATGTAGCCTGTGGTCACCCTGTCCAGATTCCTTCCTGCCTACCTGCCTGCTACCTCTGTGCCTGCTTGCTTTTACCACCTGCTTTGCCATTCATGCATGTGGTTATAATGGGGTGAATGGTTGAGACAACAGGGGTACATTCTATCATTGCTTCCAAAACATATTCAACCCTTTGAGATTTTTTAATCTGTGAACTTCTTATGAAAGCTCTGACACTCTTATTGGACATAATATCTAATTACCTTCAATTAGTTTCAGAATACCATGTCAGTGGTGATTTAGCTAGCTCATACTTGGAACTCAGCTTGAAATAAACTTACATGGTAGATCTATGTGCGCATTCATGTATGCAGGTGTCCTTTTGGTGAATCTTCAAAGGAGCACAAGGTGATCAGATGAATATATAAGGACCTGACTCACACACATCTATTTATTTACTGAACTGGATAAACTGTGGCCAGTTACAGTTTGCAATAGTTCATACAGAAGCATCACTGTTACAGCTATGCAAAAGGGGCTTGTCCGAATTCTCTTGGGAGTGGTATCACATTTTAGCTTTTGAACACAATAACTGTTGGCTGTAAAAATGCTGGATGGTAAAACACCCTCACCATATCTTCAACAGCCTCCCAAGAGTTTGACCATGATTACTGCCTGCCCAGGTCTGCAATGTGGCTGGCTTCCAAAAATGGTACTGGTCCTCTAATCCTGCAACTCACTCCCCCAATTTCTAAAACTAGGATTTGACTTTGTCAGCTTACTCGTTTGTGCATTCCACAGTCTTAAAAACTTGTTGTCCTTGTTTAGCTTTTGCTAAGCCTGCAAACAGTGGCAATTAACTGAACTGTTGGTGGCATGGTTTTGACAAGGTACAAAACGGTGTCTCTTCATCTTAACAAGAGTATGAATGTGTCATCAGTGGTGCACTAATAAGGATTTGAGATTTTGCGTTTTTTTTTTTTTTTTTTTTTTACATGACAATTATACCTCATCTTATTTAAAATGTTTATCAAGGAATGATCACATACACAATAATTGCACATTTTTAACTAATATAATGATAATTTAAGAATATTTATATTTCTGTCTATGTGTATTGATTGGCTCATTGCCAACCAGCAGCATGATTTTGTTGTTTGAATTGTGTAGAGCGCAGTCAAGACAGTGAGGTGGTACTGCTCTCGGACTCAAACTCCACCCAGGATGCATTCACAGACCCCACCAGCTCTCAGGACAGCAGCCATAGACCTGCTCCTGGAAAAGCGAGCTCCACCTCCTCTGAGAGTACCACACCAGTGAAGGAAGGCCAACCAGCACCAGATGAAACAAGTAGGTGCCATCATTCGGACTTGGGTATTTTTTTATATTAGTTTCTATTGTGTTATATATTGTGAAATCACCTTTTAGGACTTTTAGACACTATGTAAAATCCTTACACTTTCCACTGTCAGAATTGCAATTATTACGCAGCTAACCAACTTCAACTCTTGTCTAGCCTCACTTAAATAGTTTCACTAGTTATAATGTATATGTATCACTGTACCTCATTTTTATTGTCTTAAAATCTTAAAAAAACAGAAGCAGTTTATTTTGAAATATTTTGCTGTGGTCCAAAGTTATTCTGCACTTTCGTAATGCATTTCTAGCATCCCAGAAGTGCTAGAAATTTGTTGAGTTGACTTGAGTTCATAAGGTTTTAAATAAGGAGTTACTATTTGGTCAACTGGACAAAGGTTTTAGAGTTTTGCTCTAAAATGTTTTGCTCAGCCAAGCAGCTTCTTCAGTTTGGTTTCTTCACTGTAAAACTTTTTTCCTGTTGACAAAATTTAATCTTTCATTTGCTGTGTCTGAATGTTACTGTTTAATATCAAAGTATCAATATCTAACTTTAAATTGTACTTTCAGCTTTAACCAGTGACAATGCCTGTGTCTTGGTGGAAGAGAAGATGATCCAGGAAGTGGAGGTGGTGGAGGTGGTGACACTTCCTGACACCTCAGCCCCTAAAGCTCCCGTGGACATTTGCCCTCTTCCTGCTCTGCCCATCCCAGCCACACCTCCGAAGCCACCCCCCTCCCAACAGGCTGCCCCTCATACCCCTGTGAGCGAAAGCAAGAAGAAGCCTGAGCCTCCCCCAGAAGTGATAGAGGTACCTAAGGCTCTGCCCACCGACCCAACCGAGCAGAAGAAGATGCTGGTGGAGATGTGTGTCAGGGCTCTGTTCCTCTGCCTTGGCCGATTCCCTCAACATTACAAAAGTTTATATCGCTTGGCCTTCTTCTACAGTAACAGCAAGACGCACCAGGTTAGTCATGGTCAAATATGCTGTATCAAATGATACAATGATCTTGTATGTGATCTTAGTACAATTAGACTTATCATAATATCATATTTTGAAGAGTGATTGCAACATGAGCTGTTTTTCTTTATGCTTAATAAATAGCATAGAGAAAAAAGTAAAGGTGCATTGCTCAACCTTTCTGGTGGAGGGTTCATCACCTGCTTACCTTCATGGAAATGTTGTAGCATTGTCTAGAATGTTCCCCGACCGAAGTTAAACCTATCTATCTCGCTCAAGGGAGACAACTATAAACTACGTTACAGGTCAGCTCTGTGGAGCGGCAATCCTATTCAGAGAGAATTATTGTATTTTTGTGCAATAGAAACACTTGTAATGAATAAATGCTAGATGGATGTTTAGTGTCATACCATGATACATTCCAGGAAAAGCAATAACATTTCCATGGAGATAAAAAAGTGAATTGCACAACTTTTCTGATGGAGGGTCCATCACCTGCTTAAGTAGTTTCTTTGTATCTATTGTGAATCATAGAACTTATTCAAATCCTATTGTACAAAATATAACTAAGTTTCTCTGTAATACAAAGAATAAGAACACACAATAAATATTAGGGCCCAAAAGTATTGTTCCGTCTTTAATTTATTGAACTGTAAGTTGATATAGTCATTATCATGACAGGCCTAAGTACAATGTGGATTGTGGCAATGCCCTGAGTTTGCGCTGCAGTGATAGAAGTTGCTGAAGCAGGCTGTGGAGCTCTGTGGGCAGAGGTGTGCGTGGGTGGGAGCACAGCGCTCTCTCAGCCAGTTTGGCACAAGGAGGCTGTGTGGGGCTTCACTGCAGTAGCATCCTTCTGTTAGCACCCACTTTGTTAAGCAATTTAAGGCAGCCTTTTAGCTACTTCTGAAATTCTTATTTACATTTTCATTGTTGAATACACTATGCTGCTTAAAAAATATATATATTAATTATGATATTAGAGGTAAATATGTGTGTGTGTGTGTGTGTGTGTGTGTGTGTGTGTGTGTGTGTGTGTGTGTGTGTGTGTGTGTGTGTGTGTGTGTGTGTGTGTGTGTGTGTGTGTGTGTGTGTGTGTGTGTGTGTGTGTGTGTGTGTGTGTGTGTGTGTGTGTGTGTGTGTAAAAGCAACAGGTGTCATTTTTTTAACATATACAATAATAGTTTTCATACAATTAAAATGTAAGGCAGGGAAGGTGATGAGTCATACTTTAGATGCTCACATTCACTCAGTGAATTCTTTTGAACAAAAAGTAATGGAAGACCTGTAAAATCCAAGTTATTTAAAACTGATGGTAACACCAAGTGGGGGAAATATATTGTTTATCAAGGAGTCATTCTTATAGATGTCTCTGATTTCTTGTAGACACTGTGCCAGTGTTTTTAGCCATAGTGTTTTAACATGATTTATACAGTCTATGGTTTAAACTTTAGGAGTACTAAGAGAAGGCAAATTATTTTAGTGCATTGAAAACGAATTAATCTGCTTGATTTTTAGTTTAATTAAAATGATCAAACCAAATATATGTTTTTCTCCTCATATATTTATTTATTTCTTTCACAGAACCTACAGTGGGCCCGAGATGTGTTGCTAGGAAGCAGTGTCCCATGGCAACAGCTGAAGCACATGCCTGCACAAGGACTTTTCTGTGAACGAAACAAGACTAACCTGTTTAATGTAAGTCAGGGGTTATTATGTAAGCATGTCGCTACGCAAGTCACCACACGTGCCTGCCTTTTATAAGAAAATCTACTTGCACTATGTTCAACTGATTCACATGCATCATAGTAGTAATAACATTTTATCTTCGACTCACAAAAACTGCCAGATGCTGTTGCCTGAGCATGAGAAGCGCTGAAGTGCGTCTGCAAATTTGTGACTAATAAATTGTCTGTGAGCTTGTTGAAGAGGATTGATTGGTGTACTATGATTATTCACACCACACTGAATTCATTGGAACTCAAATATTAAGCTGTAAAGTTGGATTATGGTGTGTTAGTGTTGCAAAGAATACAATACATGCATTGCAGGTGGTTTGTTCACTCTTTAAATAACCAGAGAGTCAAACAGACAAAATAGTCTGTATTGACACTAACATAGGATAAAGTATGTCTGTCGTTGTCACCATGTTTGTTTTGGGTCGTTTGGGAGCTTTGCCTTTGGCTTCCTCACAAACCCCAATGCTGCTCTATGATTGGTCTGCCCCTCAATTAACCTTACAGCAGGCACACTCCAAGATGGATTCTTGAGAGTTTGTGAACTCACAAATATTGCGAGAATCCATCTTGCTAAATATAAGAGTTCTGTGTAACCCTTAGGTCTTCAAGTTTGGGACTAGCACCAAAAGAAGTCTGCCTTGTGATGCCAATGCTTGTGTCATTTAAGGCTCTTAAATGCCTAAATTGCCACATTAAGTGCTGTGATTAAAGCAATTTGGAGTTTGTTTAGCTCGTCTTAATTTGTACACTGCTAATTGCCGGATCTATAGAGCACTTGTGCTAACAGACTGTATTGGCGATGTAAGCCAGCACTGAGCTGGAGGAGTGCTCTGCAGCTCCAGTCTCCCACTGGGTTCTAGCAGAGCCCCTTCTGGATTTAAACCTGCTCCTGCTTCGGCACACCAACTGTTGGAGCTTTACTGTTCGCACAAACCCAGCTCTGATTCCAAAGCACTGTGGAAAGCACCTTTTAAAATAACGCTCAATTATGCTGTTCTCATAGTAAAAGAGCAAAATATTTATGATGACTGTTGACTGTGTATGAGATTGACAGTCTTGCTGCACCAAGTTAAGTCAAGTGTATGTCCTGCTCTATCTACCGCACAATAACTGTACACCAACATAGAGCAAAATTCTACACAAAACAACATTTTTCCAGACTTGGGAGGAAGAGCTGTTGGTCTTGAGTCACTTAACCGGTTGATGACATCTTATTTGACCAACATTTTTATTAGTGAACAATTTTATGAATATTAGAGAATGAAGTTGAATGAGTTAACTGGAGTTTTGGCAGTGAATCATCTTTACTCTCCCTTTTTACATATGAAGATGCTGTCATTTCTGTATAGTATAATACAGTACAGTTTGGGTAGATGTATAATCAGGGCACAGATACAGTGAATAGTTTTCAGAGTTGTCTCACCCCATATTACTTGACACTGGCTTGAACTTCTTGCAGCAGTTGCATTGTGTGATCTGAAGCAAATCCAGCTTATTAGCATAATTGTTTTCTCCCTTGTGCTCTTGTGGAACAAACTGTTCTGCTTTTATCAAATGTTAGAATCATTCTTGCACCTTTCTTACTGTCACTGCTACTTCTAGGCTTTGCGGCTGATTTGAAATGGAAAATACCTCTGTAATTATTGTCTCCAAGATGCACTGGATGTGAGGCGTCCCTATGTCCTCCTCCCTCACCTCCCTGTGCACCACACACATACCCTTGCTTACATATTCTTCCACCCACTCAGTGTTCTTTCTTTGAAGCAAGAGATACAAAGCTCTGTGACATGGATGTTATCACAAGACATTATTTAATTACCACCACCCATATAAACTATTTGACTCTTTCAAAGGCTTTGTTATGTTTTTGGAGTTTTGGAGTAGCTTTCTTATAATCTCTACTTTCTTTAGGTGTGATGTATGACTCAAGTCTTGTTGTGCCGTTGTAGGTGGAGCACCTCTTAGAAGGTCCTTTCAGAGTGGGCGGAGTGTTGGCCCAATGAGAATGTTTTGACGAAGTTGATGTTTTGTATGGAAGTGGTTGTGAGTGCTACTACCTCAGTGCATTGGTCAGTTTGGTTTTGAATTATGCCTTCTACGGTGCTGTGTTTAACTGATCCTCTGATTTTGCCGGTGCTGACCAGGAATCAGGAAGAGCAATGTGCATTTGCCTAGTATGTTTATGTTGAGCAGCTGTGCCAGGGTTGGAGGTGAGGAACTCTATCAGGTGAGAGCTGTTGGGGGTGTATATAATGCTATATTGTGTTTTGTATGGATGGTGGTTCAGTGCCTTCATCTGTACGTACATGTTCATTTGTTGAGCCAGTTCTTTTCCTGTTGCTCTGTCTTTGGGCTCATGCTCCGCCCCTCCCCCTGGCTCCTTCTACACTCTACTCATCTCTTGTGTGCTGCACCGCTCAGTTTCCTCATTACTCTCCTCATGTTTGTGTGTGTTGTGTGGGAGTGCACAAATAGGCGGGAGTTTGGCTGCTTGACTGTGATAGGCTGGCACAGGGCAGCAGGGATTGGCTGTTGGCTGTGTATAGTGAGAGAAGGAAGGGAGGAGGGGGAAGAACTCTGGGGTCAGGGGAAAGCGAGCTGGAGTGCGTGGGTGTTTTGTTTTGAGATGGCAGGTTCTGAACGCAGCAGAGGAGCGGCTCAGCCTGTCTGTCAGTGGCACATTGAGCTCATAGGCACAGTTGACTGCTGCGCTCACTCTCCTCTCGCTGAGGCAATGGCCCTTCTCTCGAGGTTTTATGCTGTGTGGAGCTGTGCTTCCCGCTCTTCCTCTGCTGCCCAAACACCCAAATGCAACGCACACCGTGCTCTGTGTGCGTGAGGCTCTCTCTGGGTGGAGGCAATACCAAGGCTACTGGGGCCACTACGGCCAGCGGGAAACTGTCCAAAAGTACTGTCGAATAGGCATCGTGGTAGCTTCCTTTTGGTGATGGTGAGTCCTCCTCCCTTTGAGTCAAACTTTGGATTTTTGTACTATGTAGTTCTTAAAAAAAATATTGTTACACTGTAACACACTAAGCAGGTGATGCATGTATGTATACAAGTAAGTTTATATTTTATCTGTCAATAAAAATATAAAATATATAAGCAATTCCTGAATCTGATGGATACTGTGTTGCTTTAGTAATATGAAAATGTCACTTTTCTTTACTCTTCAGTTTTTGGGAGTTATTCCATATACACCTTTTGATTATTTTCACAACCTTTTAGCCCCCTTTTATGCAGGTTTAAATTAACTTTGCAAATACTGTAACCTTGTGTGCTACATGTGAAGTCTTCATCTCCTTGTTCTATTACTTTGATCATTACTCTGGTCATTCTCCAGACGATGGTTGTTACTGAGGTACTGACTATGTTGACTACTCATCTCAGGGTGTATTGATAGTATTTTCCTGTCAAAAGCGCAATATGCTTTATTTGTTTCAGTTCCAGTCTTAAATCTGCTTTAACTATGCTGTGGTATAATCTGTATAAAGCCATGGCTCTGCTTTCCCTAAACAGATTTACTGTGGTCAGATGATTCTCTGATGAAGAGCAACTCTCCTCCATTAGAGATGTTTTTCTAAGTGAGCAAGCCCACCCCCTCACCGTACTCGTCCTGCTCCTGTTAGAGGCTTTTGGTAATCTGTGCATCCAGTAGTTCAAACCACGACTATCCCTGGCTGATTGCATCATACATTTTGACATGACATTTTTTGGATTCTTATTCACATCAGGTAGCACTGGTCTCAACGATTCAAATGTTATGGCAGTTTATCACAAACTGTGTTTTGATTGACACATGTGTGCTACAGTGCTTTAGTCGCTCCAGCCTGATGGAGATTCTTAGCTGTAAGTGTTATATTTTATATCTTGTGCCTCTTCATGACTGCTCCAAGTCTTGCCCACCACCTGCGCTCCCAACAGTCTCTTCTGAGTACAGTGCTAGGCCTGGCTGGAGTTGGAGCACACATCTGACAGGAAAATGTGGCTTCTACATCAAAATGGCTTCATGCTTTCAGTGTGGATGCGTTTGTTGGCAGCCAGCCTTGTGGTCTGTTGCTTTGCCTGAACTGAACTGAGCTCTAATGAGGCTGCCTATCGTGTGCCCGGAGAGAAAGCACCCCATCCCTTACTCCTCTCCTCCTCCCATCTCCTCGGCATCTCCTCCTCATACCATCTCATTTTTCTTTGAATGCCATATTTTTTATCTGCTATTAAGCCATTCGATAACAGGTGTATCTAATTAATCATTTCTACCAACTACAGATCATGCAAGGAATCAAAATGAGGGACACAGTGCCCAACCTATTTAAAATCCCACCATAGAAAAAGTGCTAATAGAAACATCTTAATATGATGTTTTGGCATGCTAATGCTTAGGGCCTCTGTTTTATCTCCAGGGCATCTGGCGTATTCCAGTAGATGAGATAGACCGCCCTGGAAGTTTTGCATCTCATATGAACAGATCCATTGTCCTCTTGCTAGAGGTGCTGTATCAGCTAAAGGATCACGACACCCTGCTGAAAGTCTCTTTCATGTTGCAGAGGACCCCTGATCAGGGAAAGTAAGAAATTTTGCTTTTACTTTTATTGTAATTATAAGTGAATGTTCTTTCTAATGCCCTCATTTCATTTTCCTCATTGTTTTTCTTTTAGGAAGTATTTACGGGATGTTGATCGCCAAGTCTTGGCCAAGAGAGCATTTTTCCTAACAGTTAAAGTGTTGGAGGACAACCTGAACAGTCTCACAGGGGTGAGGAAGTGCACACACTGCTGTAATTGTCTGGTATGTATATGCTTCATGTTTGACAGCTTCTGTTTTCTCTCAGGTTTCAGAGCAGCTTCCCAAAGCGGCTGCCCCCTCCATGGGGGAGATGACCACGACTGAGTCATCCAACAAGGCCAGTTCAGAGGACAGTAAACATGGCCTACCCAAGAAGGCCGGACTCTCAGAAGGAGTATGCACTCCAGCCCCTGACAGTGGGCCTCAGGAGGCGTCCCAGGTCTCTAATACTGGAAGTAAGATTGAGGGCGACACAGGGAAGGTGGACTCTGTTGGGAATGAGATTCAGAGACATGCCCCTGAGGAACCCATGGATCTGGATTCTGGTCTCTGGAGAAAGAGTTCCACTGCCACAGACTCTCAGGGCAATAAGACAGATGTGGACATTAGTCTGAGCACAGCAGCACCTCAGCAGAAAGGCACTGACAACAGCCGTGCTCCAGAGCTGTCTCTGGAGGAGCTTAGCATCAGCTCTAGACAACAGCAGGTCCAGGCCTCTGCTCCCAAAGCCACAGCTGCCCCAGACCAGACGAGTTCACACAGGCCCAACCGCAAGAGGAAACTCATAGAGGATGTGGAGTCTGGAAAAACTCTTCTACTCAATGCTTACAGAGTGTGGCAGCAAGGCCAGAAGGTCATGACCTATGACCTGGGAAGCATAGAAAAAATCATGTCCGAAACATACATGCTTATGAAACAGGTAATCCCACGAAACAACCACCACATCAAGTTTATCTGCTTTGTAAGCAGCATAACATGAGCAAACATTTCCTTCTACAAAGCAGGTCAGCTCTCAAAATACATTTGGAAACACCCCTTTCAACAGAATTAGTAACATGACACCCTCTTGAAAAGTAGGTACTTTCCCTTCAAAACTAGGCAACATATTTGTCTTAGTCGTAATTTCTCTTTGAACCATAGATGAAACCTTTTAATGCTTTTCTGTAACATCATTGTTGATTTGGCAACTAGCTTGTATTTGAACACAGTTTGCACTGAAAAAAAAGACAGTAAAAATCTTCAAGCCCTTAGTATCATTAATATCACTGGTGCAGAGCTGCCAGCAGCTTATGAAGCCATATTGAACTCCAGATCAATGTTGGCCGTACACGGTGTCATGCTATTGCCTTTTTAATGACGAGGGAACACGTATTTTCACTGATGTACCCATTAAAGGGAGCAGAAGCCAGGAGCAGCTACAGCGTGTTTCCTGTCATCAAGTGGCTCATGCTATTAAAACGCCAGGGATTCTCCTGGAGAGCTGCTCCTGTACTGCTATGCTCTGGAGCAGCAGTTTTGTAGTTTACAACCTATCCATCTCAGCCATATTATGTGTCTGCATTAGCCCTGTATTTATGCTAATGGAATAATAAACAGGCTTTGCCTGATGAATAATGAATTCCTCCACAATAGAAATCCCTTTGTACATGCGCTTAATAATATGCCTCTCAATATAGCCCACTACATGCTTCTTGGTTCACCATCTAAGATGCAGTTTATGACTTGTGCAGCTCTATTGATTTGCGGAACTCACAAAAAAGGAAATGCCATGATTTTTGAAATGTCTTAAGCTTTACCAAAAATGGACACCTCTATAATGACACTTTAGAGAGAAAAGGGTGCATAGTTCATTCCCAAGTTATACCCTCTCTTTGAAGCTGTGTAAAATGACAAATAAACCATAACCATAATTGTACCTTTTCAAAAGCACAAAAGACACAAGAGACACGTTTTCAAAGTTCAGTTCATTTAAGATTGGTATTGATAGCTTGTATGTTATAGATAAATATACATTTTTCACCTGTACCACTTTGCATGTGGCTGTGGTGCAGTCTTTGAACTATTGTGCTCAAATGCCACTGTAGTGAACAGCTGTGCGGACAAGATTAGTTTAATGTATACTGTATCATGTTTTGTGGATAAGCTCCATCTCCCACACAATGTACATATGACAGCTTTACTCTAGATTTCCCAGAGCATCATCTGCCAGAATTGACAGATTTGATAAAGAGCTTTCACTTGTGTGAGCTGGATGTTTTGTTTTTTTTTAAATAATTATGGTATTGTAAATGATAACCACGTATCATTTACAAAGAACATTGCAAATTAAAATTGTAATCTATTGCTCTCTGCTTTTTGTGACAGGTTGATGAGGACGTAGCTTTGGACCAAGCTCTGAAGTTTTGCCAGATACAAATGGCAGCTTCTACCCAAAGACAGGTAATGACACAAATTCAAACTCTTCCATTTCAATGTAATATGTGTGAGAAATGCATACACCAGTTAGTCAGAACTGGCAACTGGCTAACCTGTTATGTCTTCATTGTTGTGGTTTACACGTTGGCTTGTTATTCTTACTGTTGATGTTTTTCTCATTTGGATTGCCACACCAAATACGGTAACTGAGTGGGTTAGTTTTTTATAGTTTCTTCTGGTTATAGTCAGTCTCTTAACTTATATTAATATGTGTACCTTGCTTTAGTATTTTCTCATATTAAATCCCCCTATGTTATCCATTAATGTGGCCTTTGAAAAAATCCATCTGCTGGTATAATTCACCTGTTCAGATATGTGTAGGGGAACTTCATGTAGTGGTAGGTAAACTCTGAAGACCAATATACCAGTAGAGCTGCAACTACTGATAAATTAAATTTTTTCTTTATTTTTACATTTTGACAAGATAAATACAAGCAAACTGGTTGTATTTTTCATAAGGGCTGCTTATTTTAGTAATCCAAAATATTTTATTCTTTTTTTGAGATTTTGGTTTAATAATGCCACTGTCTTGTACTTAAAGGTCTTTTGGCATTTGTCTGTATAGTCCAGATAAGGATAGTCAACTAGTCATAATTATTTTTCATCACAACCAGAACGACATAATATATAATGTTCTTTAGTTATTTCTATAATGGTGCCTTTACCTGCACATATTTTCGTTGTGTGTGTGTAATCATTTGTCAATTAATAAATTAGATGTTGACTTCTTCAATAATTGATTAGTCAGAATTGATCCAATTAGCTGGCACAGCCACTAAATAGGCGATGTGTAATCAGTCTCGTAAATAGCTCTGTTCTTATTCTTTTTCAATCTTTACTTGGTTTAGCTCATTTTATCTCTGGCCCTTCCCCACACCCCTCAAGCCCACACAGTCATCAAGGGTCTTTCTGCCCACAGCTGGTTGTCACGGAGATATTCCCCAAATCTCATATAATATCGCTCAATACAAAATAAATAAGTCACTTTGATTTATTTTCTGATAAACTGGCCATTGACTAACATCCCAGGGTTTCAGCTAATTCATGTTTTCCAATCCCACAATTTTATCATGTTGCATGTTTCCTTTCCCCTGAACTACTGTGTTTCAGCACTCGCTGATGAAGCTAAGGAGATGTTTTACTCACAATAGAGCCACTGTATCAATATAATGTAATAAATACAGATGTAAATGTAGAGGAAAAAAGAAAAAAAGCCTTTGAGCTTTTCAGACGTAGACGTAGTTGCACAATGCATCCACACGTCCTGTATCCAAGTGCTGTGATATGTTTTACTATTCAGAAAAGAAATGGAATGTGATGGCAAAACATCACTACTTCCATGTGTCTTTTTTCCAGTTTGATTTCCTCACTGTGGTGGTATCTTCTCAGGGATCCTCCCTCTCAAGAGTTATGCCCACTAGTCACTGTCTTCATAGCTAATGTTTAATTCATGACATAGGAATCATCAAAGCTGTGTAGTGCTGTGCACACTTGGCACTGCTCACTGTTGGACGGGAGGATCTAGTGCAGTGTTATTGGATGGTTAGTTTGTTTGTTTTTTGTTTGCTAATTCCCATGGGTCACTTCATCAGACTGTGGCTGATACTGGCTTAGACTATACCTCCCAGCAGAGTGCTGTGGAGCGTGACAAACACTGTTGATTCTGCGTCTGTCAAAGATCATTTACACTAATGTGGTTTTTGACAAATTAATATCTCTTTCAGTATCAACATTGACACAGAACTGTCAAGCAGAATATAATTTTCAGTGTTTAATTAGTGGCATGTGGTCGAGTGCAGTTCAGTTGAAGGCTATCTGTTCTGCTTGTACGGTGGGAGGTTATTTGTCAGACTTTCTTTTAATTTTAAGATGAAAAGTGGAGAGAGGCTTTGTTATTTCTTTTAAATGCCCTCCTCTGCGTTGCCATGACAGCGGCTGTGGGAGCAGGGCGTCTGTTGTCACAGGTTGTTTGTGCAGCTTTTGTGTTTATAAGTGGTCCTCAAAAGGACACCCAGGAAAGTGGCTCAGAGATGTAGAGGGGTGAAAGCTGCTGCAAGAGCAGCTCGCGAGGCTCTGAGCCTCAGAGCCTCAGAGCAGTGCTGTCAGGGTGGGCAGCAGTGGGCTGAATCAGGTGAATACTGCTGACGCTTAAGTGTGCAGTGGTCACGACAGGCTGTGTCTGTGCTCTGAGCGGTGCCTTTGGGACCTGGATAATCACCTCTGCAGTAGTGGACCAGAGTAGAGGACATTAGTGCCACAGTGGGACACTCCTGTTAGTTCTACCAGAACTGAACTCTGTTCTTCTGTGTCTCCAGCAGTCTTCTGCCGATGCCCCATCCACTCCAAAGTTCACCAAGGAGCATCGTGACATCTTCTTCCCTGCGTCGCTGCCTACGCCTGTCCTGCTCAGCCACAGCACCTGCCACCCCCTGTCCACTCCAGATCCAGCCAAAGTGGTCTATGAGCCCCTGAATAAGCTTCCCAGGACCCCCGCTCCGGGCTTCCACGAGCAGCACAGGAGAACAGCAGGGCACCCGACTGCAGCTATGGCCTTCCTGCCACACACAGGTACTCCTTTTTTTTTTTTTTTTTCTTTTCCTTTCTTTTCTTTTAAGAAACAGTTATTTTACTTGGCGTCCTTCCACTGGCACTGTATAATCTGTGGTCTCTTTAGTGACCAGCAGGGGGCTCTGTTGGTCTTCTTTCCCTGTTACATAATGGACTCTGGCTGTTAGTTTGCCTTTTCGGTTTTGTCAGCTTCCTAAACAGTGCTTTTATTTAATTTTTTGTGCTCCAAAATGTGTCTCCAATTATGCCTTCACCCTAGTTGTTTTTTGGAGTTGCATTCTATTTTTTCATTTTTAATTTTAATGTTTTCTTTATCTGATTAATAAATAAAATATAACACAGTTTACCTTCAAGCATGATTTCTCTGAAGAACCTGTTTTAAAACCATACATGCTCACAAAATATAATTAAAATTTTAATAAATGAGTCATAAGTGTGTGTACTTTTTGTTCAGATTGAGCATTTATAATATAATTTGGAATGGGCTGACTCACCATAGCCTCAGGTCTGCCTCCAGACCATCTGACCACTTTTCATTGTCTTACATTATAATGCGTTACAGACACCACAGTGTTTAAGGACTCATCTTTGTTGTGGGAAACCCTTTTTCTATTTAAATACTGTAAGCCCATTTGAATTCATAGTTGCATACATCATACTGGTAAGCATCAAGCCCACTGTGACTGAGTGTTATGTAACAGTTACCTAGCAACACACTGAGCATTCATAATTTTTTATTTCATACCTGCTAAGTAAATCTAAGCTATAGTAGTCTGTACATTTTATACAAGATGTGCATAAGTAACATGTTTGTCTCCGGATTGAAATTTAGTTGAAGGCATGGATCATTATGCTTTATAAAATGTGTCCAAAATAAATTACATACACATTGCATTGCTCATAGGCATAGTCAAGAAAATTAAGTGAACAAGTCGAGATCACTTATCGAGAAGAGCAACAGCCCCTGCAGTTACTAAAATGATGTCCCTACCATTATTAGGCCCAAGCATCACAAGCTGCCAAAGGGCTTATTAGTTGTAGCCAGACTAAGGCTACGTCCACATGACAACGCTCCTGGATTTTTTTCTTTTTTGCGTCCACACACATGCCGGATCAGTAAATATTCACATCCACACAACAACGGAGCACTGAGTGAAAACGATATAATACATCTGCCACACCTGTATGTGGTGCTGTTAACAATGATGATATTTAATAATGCAAATCTCATCACCGTTTTTTAAACTTTAAGGTAAGTTAGCCTCTTTTAGATGTATCCCAGAAATATAGCTGTTTTGTTTTGCAAAAGTTAAACATAAGTCACAGAAAGAACCCATATATTCCACTGAGTCCTGTCCTTTAGTCCAACAGAAGCTGAACCCCATCAGCGCACAATAGCAACCTGTTTTGTGCGCCCTTAGTTTATGCAAATTTGCCATGCAATTTTAAGTTTTGTTTCTGTAAAATGTATACAAATATGCACAAAGCTGTGTGGATAGGGAAGGCTTGCGGACACAGAAACAATGTATCTGGACGCAGATTGTTTCTGATACGGTGATATGGTGATATGGTGATACGCGGATTCGTTTCAGTGTAAACGTAGTCTTTGTTATTGATCCGTGTGCGTAATTTGTGGTGCGTGTTGTTAGTATTGCCACTAGCAGCCTGGCTCGGTTGCTGGGTGATGGGAGCAGCTCCGTAGGCTACACCTGTCCTATTTTGGCGAGGCTAGTTTGAGGGCTGCAGGCTTCGCTGCATCAGAGGACCCTAGAGATGATGGGATTGTGGCGTGATCGTTTTCTAAAAGCAGCAGTTTGCTTGCCCACCCGAAATGCCGGCTCGAAAGGACGAAAGGCCAAAACGAATACAAACTGCTCCGTTTCGACCAAAAAACGTTGTCGTGTGGACGGCCCCTAAAAAGCAAGTGTATATTGTTACACAATTAGGTGTATGATAAAGGGGTGAGATCATTGCTGCTTGCGGCTTACTATGTACTGCCCTGAATTATTTCTGCAGTAAATGTGTATAATACTTTTATAATGTCATTTATCCGATTTGTCTGTCAAAGCAGAGGAGAGGGAGGAGCACTCAGAAGGCTTAGCATACCGGCAGCAGGAGTCCCACCTGTGCCAGCAGATGAAACTGGCCTCTGTCTCCCCAGGACAGGACTCTGCAACATCCACAACAGCATCCAAAACAGCATCCACAACAGCATCCACAACGGCACCCACAACAGCGCTCACAGCAGCAGCCTGGTTCAGTGAGGAGATCCCCACATGTAGCACCACACAAGTTTGTACAGGTATGGGGAAAATATCCAAGAGAAATGTTTACATAGCTAGCTCAATAATACCTGTAATCCAAAGAGATACTAAAGGTGTACTGTGTAACTCTTCTGGTACATGGTTCTCCGCATATTTTCTTCCATGGAGATTTTTTCAAGCTAAAAGTTACTGCAGCTTTTAACATGTACACAAAAACATGCACTGACATAAGGACAGAATGACTATTCTGAGTAGATAAAAATGTATTTGATGCAAACCAAGAAAGAAAGCAGTTTTAATTTCTTTACAAAATGCTCGAACAGTTTATGTTCTCCTGAGAAATAATGTGCCTCTTTAGATGTTACATATCCAATTCTTACCTGAATCTTCTCTTTCTCCTCCTCAGACCAGCAGCAGTATGCCAGCAGTGACCTGTCAAAGCTTCCAGACCCAAGCCGAATCCGCTCCCGTGTCCCTCCGAACATGCCAAAGCTCTTCATCCCCTCCACCGTCGCAAAGTTCCCCCCAGAGATCACAGTCACGCCCCCCACACCCACCCTGCTCTCCCCCAAAGGCAGCATCTCAGAGGAAACCAAACTCAAGCTAAAGGTAAAGACTGTTGAACTTATCATATCTGCTAGGTAATAGACATACTGTTTTACAGTTTTAAAAAATTGAAAAGAGGGAGCTACTGTTTCTGTCAATGTTCATGTTAGCCAATGTGACTTTTTGAAGCAATACAACTTATTTGACAATATAAACTTTCACAAATGTGCAGCTTTATACACCATCATACATAGGCAGTTATAATTAAAGCATAATTTGTAAACTGGGGCTGGACAATATTTTGCAAACTAACGGCTAACAAAAATTGCCCCTTGCTGTTTGTACTTTTGAACAGAATGTGATTTTGGCGTCTCAATCGGCCGCCACGGTGAAGAAGGACACTCTGACCCAGCCGGCACTTGAGGTCCAGGAGACGTCCAGCCAGGAGTCGTCTCTGGAGAGCGAATCTGATGAGGAGGATGACTACATGGACATCTGAGCCCCACTGTAACTCACACTCATGTTATTCCCAAAGCTTCATCTGACCGACATATCAAAACCAACCACTTCAAAGGCCCTTTCCAATGATGGAGTCCTCGTAAATTAATGAAATAAATATGTATCACTGTTCAAGTTGTGAATCAGTTCTGCTGTTCCCAAATGGCCATAACAAATCAGAGGCCTACAAGCACACAGTAAGTTGATGGGGCACATGTTTTAGACCAGCCCTTCTACTTATGTCCAATCTTGGGTCTAATTACTTACAATCATAATGTCATGAATCATGTTTCTCCTTTCATATGTACTTGGGACTTGCACAAGGACTATTCAGGGTAGCTCCCCCTGTGTTTGGACAGGATGTACATCATTTTGGTGCCTCTATGGAATAAATCTTTGAAGGATCGTGGACCTAGTCTCCTCTTGGACTCTTTCCTTTCAGCATGATAAATTTGTCTCCCAGTATTTTTCATGATGATGTACAAACTGAATTTTGAGTGTATCTGTCAAGCTTTCAGACCACTCCTCGACTTGTAGCAAATTGGAAATGTTTACATTTAACATTTGTTCTTCAGTCCTCACTTGAGCTTTTGCTGTTTTTGTACTCCACTTGTAATATTTGTCTGATATATTTTTGTGCATTTGTAGCTGCAAGACTTTTTCCAGGTATGAGTCCTGCCACCAGCACTGATTTGACTGATATGGTTTGAGTAAATTAGCTTTGTACATATCATTAGCTAAATGTTTTTTCACTCTGTTTGGCTTTAACGTGTGAGTATAAGGCGCTGTGCATGTGTAAGAGGGCAAAGGTCATTCAATTCCTTTTTTCTGATGCAGCGTTTCCTGAGTTCATCGGAATTGACTGAAAGTGCATGCTCCTCTCATTTGAAACTGTCTCAATCAACTAACTCAGCGAAGACAACCGAATGTTTTTACAGATTGTTTTGTATAAAAGGAAAGATATATACTCATAATGTATCTGGGAGGCCATCTGAATAATTTTATAGAAAAGGGCACAGATTAACAATTGTGAAGTATGACCCTTAATATGTCATTATTTTTCTTGTTGTACTAAAATTTTCTATTGTTGCTGAGTTTCTGGGATGTACGCGATGAAGATGTAACCGGGTCAGCCTCCGCCCCCACTCAGCTGGAGGGGAATTGTTCTGTCTCGATTGAATGCATTATAGATGTCAAACCAAAAATATATTTGAGAAACACTGAGGTTTTCTGTGTGCTGCTTCAAAGTAAACACAAATAAGCACAAAATGTTTAATCTCCACTGGGATCAAGCTAAAAAAATAAATAAGACTTGCACTTGCAAAGTTTACTCTTTAAAGACAAACTTCCTGAGTCAAAAAAACAAAAAAAAAAAAAAACACTTATGTGACACTGAACTTTTCCTAAAATGAAATATGAATATTATGCCATTTTTGTAACGCTTTTAACACATTTGTCGTATATTGTTTTGTTTTTTATGAAAATATAAATAATTACACATGCGGATAAAAACAGGAAGGATAGAAATTACTGAGTGAGTCAAATGCAGTAATTGACTAATAAGATCTTAGTTAATCCAAACCTGCTATAACCTCTTCGTATGTGCTGTCAGACCACCCTGGTCCACATTGGCTCTGTGCTCAAAGGACTCGTCCTTCGGTGTGAAGTCTGTGACACGAGGGAAGTCATTAGTCTTCATTAGCCACTTCCAGGAGCTTCTTATGAAGTGCTGTGAAGTCGTCATCTGCCCCTTTGCCGATCAAGCTCAACATGCAGGTTTGTTTTCCTAAGCACGAGGCTGAACCAAATGTGAGTGCAGCCCTTCTGCTGCTGCCTGCCTGTGAGAGCAGTGTCATGGACCCATCTCCTAACACAAAAAAATAATACTCCACATCATGCATAAATCACTGTAGGGTAAATACAAAGCTATACTGAAATTAGATAGAAAAATATGATTTGTTGTAACCACACCAAAATTGTATGCCATCACTCAGATGACATTATGTAAAATACATTTCACAATTCAATCATTTCACAATTCAATCACACAGAATCATTACATGATTCTGTGTGAGAGAGAAAGACAAAACTCCATCAATTGTAGTTCTAGCTTTGACAGATATGTGAATAAATTCACATATTTATGAAAATGCTGTTATGTTTATGTGTCTTGATACATGATAAAGCAAAGTGCAGAGTGCTTGGAACACTGAACAGTTACTAAAGTGGGCAAATATTATTTTTCAATTAAAATAAGACAATGCAAAAACACTGACAAAATATTGCAGAATCTATTCCTTTGAATTCAGGCAAATATTTGAATCTTAAACAGGATGTTTTATGATACTGTCCAGTCTTGAGAATTTGCAACCAATAAGACATATACACAAACCCCTGAAAGTGGCCAATTAAGCATCAAAAGGGCATGGTGCATGGTTAATGTGGGCGAAAGGTGTGAGATTTCTCGTCAGTCCACTCCGGGGGCTCTTTATGGGGCTGCTGCAGAGCCGTCTGATCCCCAGCCCGGGCTGTATATTGGCAGCTGTTAACTGTTGTGCGCTTAAAGCAAATGGCCACAGACAGTGACACCTGGGAGCGAGGGACAGTGCTGCCTCAAGGTGAAGTGTGGTAGGCACATAGACGACAGCCCGCGGCACACTCATGTCACTGGGGCTCAAATTTAGACACATTTAGAATAGCTCCACACTTCTCCACTGTAATAAAATAAATATCCAATTAACTGTATTATAGCAAATTAAGAAATTACCATGGTGATTATAAAATAATTTTAAAAAGCATATTCAAATTATAGACTTAATAATAATTTAACCAGAATCTCTCAATTGTACTCTACTCCATGAAATGATCAAATGTTTTGCAAATGGAGAATTTATTCCCTTTTGAAATACATATGTTTGTATTTTACAAGCAGAGTGCCTTGCCCAGTGTCAGTATATGCTGATGTATAAATGAGCGCGACAACAAAGGGAAATGAGCCCACTATGCTACAATCTGTGTTTACAGCATATGTTCATTTAACACACACATTTTTACAAACATTAAGCTACATGAGTACCCATAGTTTGATCATCATAATTAACTCACTATACTATACTGTTTTATTATACCCATAATTATATATTCTGTATATTGTATAGTGGGGGCAAAGTTTCAAAAATAATAATAACAGTAATACATTATATATATATATATATATATATATATTATATTATATATATATATATTTATATATATATATATATTATATATATATATATTTATATATATATATTTATATATATATTTATATATATTATATATATTTATATATATATATATATATTATATATATATATTATATATATATATATATATATATATATATATATATATATATATATATATATATATATATATATATATATATATATATATATATATATATATATATATATATATATATATATATATATTTATATAGCCCTTTTCACACTCAAATATGCTGTACAGAGTATACAATTAAAAAGAATACATATAATAAAAAACAAGGTAATCAGACAAAATATAGGCATGATTTAAGAGCAGGTTAGACATTAAAAGCTGTTCTGAATAGGTGGGTTTTGAGCTGTACTGGAAGGTCTGTACTTAGATAAACAATATTTCAGGTGTTCTCAGGTAACTTACAACTTCCCCCTGAAGCATTATCCATTTTGGACTGCCCTAGGCTCAGTTGCATAAGTCTGTCTGCTCCTCTCTTAGGCTGTAGTCTCAAGGCAGTGTACTGAGGCCATGTACCAGTCACAGCTGTCACCTCTGGGACTAATGCGTAATGGGATCGACACTGCTGCTGCTGGAATGTACACCTCTGCTCTGACACCCCTACTCATGTCATTTGCAAGTTTAACATCCGAATGAACTGTTTCAAATAGCATTTTAGTAACATCAAAGGCTGCATGAGACCTTCTCCTTTCTACATCTGCATCCTGCACTGTGCAGATGTCTTGACTGTTTATAAAAAGCTATGGACATTGCAAATATCAAAACAGAAAACTCGAATCTTAATATAGAATATAGATGCCAAGGTGGTCAATGGCATTAGCAAATAGTTTCAGGATAAAGCACTTAACATTTTCTGGAGATAATTAAAATTCAAGAAAATAGGCAACATCTTAAATTTGATTAACTGAATAAAAAGTAAGGATTGCTTATTAAGTTTCCTATCATGTTGGGACTGTATTTCTTTCCTGTACTAACGCTATCTTTTCAGCTACATACTAAGTGACAGAAGCCACACTGAAGCTGCGATTCATAACTCTCTGACAACAGTTGGCTCACATAAGGCAGAGGAAACACTTGTTCAAGGCCAAAGTTGTGCCTCTGAATTGACCCTCATGAAGTGTGATTCCTGCATCGGGACTTTTAACACGCCTTGGCCATAAACACAGCTCTCTGCATCTTTAAGTGCATCATTATGTCAGTGTTACAATGCTTTTTGTTGTACATCGACTGAACGTTTTAACCAGTCAATACTTTCACACAGTCCACTTCACAAAGGGACTGCTGAGACATCAAAACACAGCTCTGCCTTGTGCAGCATCTGCTGCCAATGTCTTACCCAGTCATATCCTTATGATTGATTCCAAGGTAATAGTTTGTACTGGGCTTTGCCATATAACAATATAAAAACTTGGATGTTTTTAAGTCAAGTATTTTACATTAAAACAAAAAAATAAAAATTTCTCATGGAAACCTGTTATGAAATAAGCACTAGTTCAAATGAGCTCTACCATGATAGATCCTAGATCCACTTCCTTGTCCTGGCCCACGTTTTAATTTTCCATTTTCTGACAAACAGCATCTGAAGTTTATCATATTTATTCTGACCTATCCACTGGGAGTCAGTGTGATGTGTTCACTGTGCACTATACAACATGCAATAACCCTTACTCCAACAGTGGAAGTAGCATTGATGTTGTAAGTGACTGAATGAGACATGAAAGATGCATTAATTCTGATCTTTAAAAGGTGCTTGAGCGTTCCTTTTTAATCTATATGCTAATGCCTGTAATGTTGTTTTGTCTTTGTTTGTTTTTTAGTGACATATCATCGGGACAGATAGCCCTGGATGGCCCTGGATGTGGATAGGACACTTGTATTTCCTTATCACCCCCCTCCCTCCCTTCTCATCCCATTGAAGGCATACTTGGCCCTGTGGTGCTAACTGGCTGTTAATTGCTGGCCTTTACACAGGACTTTCTCCACATGTAGAAACCAGCTTCTTCAAGGGAAACAGACCTAATGAGATTATCTATCAGAGCAGTAGTCTGTCTAGACACCGAATACACAACCCCTCCCCTGTCCCCTGCACCTCTACCCTGCCCCAGGAGGCCCCAGGTGAAAGTTACCTGCAGATGATACAGTGCATGTTATCATTAGACCATTATGGCTTTACTGAGCTTCTCACCCTCTGCCATTTATTAGATACAGGGATGTAGAATGGGGAAGTGCATCCTTGATAGTAAAAATAAAACTATTAAGCACGCTTGTTTGCATAAAATTCAAATTTTAATTTTAATGTCAATGTCAGTGAATAAAATTGAGAGCAAAATTATTAATAGCAATAGCTGTTTTTTATTTAGTTTTTAAAGAAATATTTTACAACTATATTTAACTTTGTCAAATAACAAACTTATTTTTTTCAAGGAACTTATTTGAGCTTCTAACAACAGAGGGATTATTTGAATAATGAATATACATTTTATGCCAGTAATTTACTAATTAATAAAACTTAAAGTATTCAGTCCTGGCTGTAGTTGCAGATCAAAAACTCTCTGGCTGAATATATACACATTTTACATGCAACTCTTATTAATGTGGGGGAATTCACTTGGTTGATAATGTGTTTAAATTTGTTTTTAATTTGTGTCTCCCACTTTTGTGAAAATCAGCAATATTTGCCATTTACCTCATTGCACAAAGCCACTAAATGTTGTTTCCAGTTTGGTGAAGCCTGTATGTCAATGGTAAGTACACATACAGTGGTGCCGCCAAGGGGCCTCCTTGACTCTGCATCAGGGAAGTGCATGGTCCATATTTGTTTTTAAAGTCTCTTAGCAGTTAATAAACATGCATTTCCTCCAGTTGGTCCTTCCTGTTGGGACGGTATCAAGGCTCTGTTAAGTCTCTTTGATTTCCAGTGCCCTCCAATCACAGCAGGGGACCGACTCATCAATGTGCCACTTCAAAGCCTGAGAATGGCTCTACTGGCCCCGCCCACATTGGGAGTCCCCTTAAAAGTCATGGTCGCCCCATCCTGGAGGACCAAGCACCTCTGACACAAGTGGCACTAGGACAGGCCCTAATAACATCTGATTAACCTTTGGCTTTTGGATATTTGCTTCTTCTACAACCAGGAAACTACAAGAGAGTGAAACATTTGGATATTTCTATACTTGGATACTTTTACTAATTCTTCTCCTTTTTACTGACCTTTTTCACATTTTACTGCGTTCAGTGGAAAATGCAGCCCATCAGAGGTAAGCCATGTTCACCGTACTCCTTGCTTTTAAAACATTTTTATTTTCTTAGTCTATAACAAAAGTTTCTTTTGCCTCTTAGATCTTAAGCCTAACTTCACTGGCCCACCTCCAGCTTCCATGGCGGCTGGTCCTGATGCCTATCTCCAAGGCAACATCAGAATGACCCTGGAGGATCCTGAGCTGTGGAAGTCCTTTCATGAAATAGGAACTGAGATGATCATCACTAAACCTGGCCGGTAAGATGACTAAACTGCTTACATTTGGCTTGGTTCAAAAAAGTTCAATTAAATCCAACAATGTAAATGAACAAATATTGACCTGTGTTGTTTGCAGGAGGATGTTTCCACACTGCAAGGTCAACATCTCCGGCCTCATCCCATGTGCCAAATATATTCTACTGGTCGACATGGTTCCTGAGGATGGATTCAGATACAAAGTAAGACATGGCTACAAAAATAATAATTTAACCATATTTAAAACTTTATTTATTGGTCTTTTATATATTGGTTAAAATAGATATGTGTTTGCATGTAATAGTAATTCTAGAAAGAATAAACTAGAAAATGTAAGTAAGTTTAATAGTTTAAATAGGAGTATAACTATTTCATTCATAAAATGTAGACTATTGCAAATGAGCTAGTGACACCCCAAGTGGTCAGTCAGTCAGTACCCCAGACGCCCCATGCCCCCCCTTGTCTTGACAGTGGACATCAAAGGGGTGCTATCTCTTCCTGTTTTTTTATCCCTTGCTGGGAACCTACTGTACCAGACCCTATCTCTGTGGGAGTCCCAGGCCAACCGTCGCTCTCAGCTCCTGCCCTGTCTACTGTAGTGTCATTGTGAGAAGCAGAAGAAATCACTTTTTCCCCAGTAACAGATTAGCCTAACAGTGTCCAACTGTGTGCTTCCTCTAGTGGAATAAAGACAAATGGGAGGTGGCAGGCAAAGCGGAGCCCCAGCCGCCGTGCAGGACCTACCTCCACCCAGATTCCCCAGCCCCCGGGAGCCACTGGATGAAGCAGTCTGTATCCTTCCTCAAACTAAAGCTCACCAACAACACACTGGACCAGCATGGACATGTAAGGAAGCCAATTTCAACTGTTTTCAATTGACACCACCCTTCTGATATTAAATGCCAGTTTAGTACATAATAGAATATATTTAGGAGACTTACTCATTGAAGTGTCTTGAACCTGTTCATCAGTTGTTGAAATTGTGCTAAATATTAGTTTTTATTTCAAGACTAAATTCCAAATGCTTCTCTCACCCAGTAAATATGACAATGAAAATTTAACTACATATACTATTTGTAAAATAATTGTACAACAGCCACAGTAATAATTTGATTTTCACTGTCCCTAATATGTGCACTTAAAACACATGAGATGAACTTGCTATTACGAGGTGATATACCCAACAAATATTTACAGTTCTGCATTATAACGTGAACAGCCATTTTCATGCTCATTATGTAATTTTTTTGTTTTGTTTAGATCATTCTGCACTCTATGCACCGCTACTATCCCCGCTTCCACATTGTCCAGGCTGATGACCTCTTCAGTGTGCGCTGGAGCGTGTTCCAGACCTTCACTTTCCCCGAGACCTCCTTCACAGCAGTCACAGCCTACCAAAACACTAAGGTCAGACTCACCTCCTCTAAACCATTAAACCTGACTTTAAAACATACGTGCAAGATTTTGACCATGCTTATGTTTTGTACAGATCACCAAACTCAAGATTGATCACAACCCCTTTGCTAAAGGATTCCGAGATGAGGGCACCAACAAGAAAAGGTGTGTATTAATTAACATTTCAATAAACATGCGCATTCCTTGGATCTTTTTAAATTTAACTGAATAAGTAACATTGCTATTTGTCTATAGACGTGCAAACAAGAGCCCAGATAGTGCAGAGAAGAAATCCAAGATGACTGACATGTTGGCACGAGACTCTGAGGAGGACAGCCAGCAAGGTATGTGACACACTCAGTAAGTAGATTCATTTGTTATATTTTACACCGGTCTAATCTAGTTTTCTTCAGACTTCTGCAGGCAGTCTTTTGATAGTTTTGATGGTGAAGAGGTGGACAAGCGGAAGGAGGTGGAGCCTGTGAAAGAGGAGACTTACTCCCCCTGGGCAGCAGATCGGGAGCACAGCGTCAGGACAGAGTCTCCAAATGGGGCAGATACCCGGGACATGTATAATGCAGAGCAGCTAGTACCGGCTCCTGCTTCCTACCAGCCCTACAGGTGAATATGTTTAAATGATGTATATCAATGTAAACTGAAGGGGAAGTTGAGTTGCCAAAATGTCTTAAATCATTTCAGTCGTGTATTCCTCAGTTATACTGTTATAAGTAGTAGTAAATTGTTCCCTCCATTCTAAGTAGTTCTTGGATATTTAGGTTTAAAGTTCTGACCACTCATAGAGCACAATAGTTTTTTGCTCATATAAGCCTACAAATGCACCAAATCATACATAATTTACATAGTTTACAGAGGGTAGAAAAAAAAAAGAGTTATCTCCAAATACTTGCATCAGTGTTACAAGTATGGCTGTTGATGTAATACAAAATAGAATAGAAAACCAAATAGCCCACCAAACACCGTCATCACGTATTTTTAAATTTTCTCCATTAAACATAATTACTTTTTTCTCTCAAGGTTCCACGAGTATTCTGGCAAATCCGTCTCGCCCTCTTCCACTGCTGGTAGAAGCAGCGTTGGCTTGGGACGTTTTGAGCCAAGAGTCCCAGATGTTGCCACTGTTCCGGACCATGACAACTCCAAAGCTGCCAGACCACAAGATATGGTTGCTTCCTCTTCCTCCTGTGCTCCTCAGAATCTACCCCAGGACTATACGGGCGTTCTCAATATGACCATGGCCCAAGCTGGCAAACCTGGCGTGATCGGACACCCCATCTACAACCCCTATGGCACAGCGGAGCAGCCATTGGCACAGTGGAGCAACACAGCACCATCTCAATACCCAGCGCCCCATCACCTGACAGCAGATTACCCCACACAAGCGGTGCACCCTGGGTACCACCATAGCAACGTGGCAGAGTGGAGCCAGTACCCTCTTTTCTCCTATTCCTGCTGGTGAATGAACACTGGAAGTCAATGTGTTTGCAATGTCTTGGAAAAGACTGAATTTACTGATGCTACTGTGCACAAAAAGGCTCGCTAAGAAGACGGTGCATGCCCAGGACAGAAGCTAGAGGCCGGTCATAGCAGAACAGTTCAGGAGTCAGAACGGATGTGGTATGTGCAAATAGTGCTTTACTATGAAGTATGATTGTCTAATTGTGGTCTATTTATTTAGTATTTCAACTCATTTCAGGTGTAAATATTATTTTTATAAAACAGATCAAGTTAAGTGTGCAATTTAATTCTGTCTGCAACTTGTGATGTGATTTGAAAATAAAACTGAAAAAAGTCAATTTGTGTGTATTTATTTTCTGTAAAAAGCCATTAGGTGATATTTCCTCCTTGAATCAGTCAAGAAGCAACTGGTATTTTTAAAAATCTCTCCTAATTGTTTGATTCTGTGTTATTTTGTTAATGATTTGATGAGTCCAGCGTGTATTAGAACATTTTCCTTGACCAGGGGACCAAGTTGGCAGCGCATTTGCAGCCTGTTTACTGTATTAATTACAATGATTACTATTAGATTGGAAGGTCATAGGGCTACTGGTTTCAATTCCCTTCCAATTAGATGTTTCACTTTGAGCTAGGGGGGTACCCAAAGAATACTGCTCATGTTTACCTACAACATCATAAAGAACAACACAACTCACTTTCTCCATCTCAATGATCTTTAAAAAGCATGAAAACGAGGGGCGTTTCATTGTCTTTCAACTGTGACTGAAGCCATCTCCTCCAACCTTTGTGGCCTATGAGCTGTTAATGATCATTGGGAAGTACTGGGGGAGGGGGTGATTGTTTGTATTCCAGCTCATTACCATTTAAGACATTTTTAGAGTGTAGCATCCTTTGACTCCTAAACAATTCACTAATGATAATGAGGTAAGGGCTTGACTGAAGATATATATCTACAGTTTTAATAATTTGTGTTATGTTAGAAATGTGGTGGTCAATGTTTGTTGGTTAGGAGAATAAGTTTGATGAGAGTGAAAATGAAACAGATAAAGCTGAATTTACCTGCTTACAACCTGATGACCTCTTTCTGAAGGGAGGAGTATCCCTAGGTCTGGGACACACAGAGTGTACTTTGTTCATAAAGCTACACATTCTTGTTATGTGTTTTATATTTTAAGTGGAGATGCAAGTGTAGGGTGCATATTCTATTCAAAATACATATATAGAGAGGTGCATGTTTGAATGACCATGAGAGACCTCTGGCATGGTCTACCCCTATCTTGCCCTTGTTGTTTGTGAACAGTATACAGAATAGAATTGTATACAAAAGACTGTATGCAAATATTTTATATTCTGGAATGGATTTAAATTGGGATTAACAACAATATTTTGGCAAATGGTAGGCACTCAGATACATGTAATGTCTGAGCTTGGTTAGAAATTATACATTTTACATAATCATTTTTAAAATAATAAACCACAAATCAATGTTAAACCTAAGGCCCCATCATAAACATACCTAGAGTGTTTTGTTTCATTCACAAATTTAACACACAAATACTGCTCTCTTCTTCTTCTACTTCTTCTTCTTCTCTCAGAAAACAAATATAACATTCTGTTCCACCTTGTTAGGTCATGTGGTTATAGGAAATGCTCCACTGTGTTTTTAAACCACCCATACATCTTCACCAGTATATTTAGATAATTTAATCCATGGAATTGCCAGTCTCTACTGAACTAAAGGTAAAGGCAGCCGTTAACTTGAAAACTACCTTTTCATTGCTGTGATAACTGGACAAAAAGCCTTACATTGAGCTGCAGTTGGACATCTAAGTGCATGACATTTGTGTTAAGTATCCCCAAGGTGGCCCTATCCTGAATAAAAAGGGTCCAATATAAAACCCAGTAATGGAATGGTCCTAAGTGTCCAGAGTCAGTGGCAGCAGGCCTGGTGGGGTATATGTCTGCACAGGAGGAAAAGGGAGCTGGCACTGCAGTGTGAAAGCGGGCTGAGGGGACTAACAGCTGCTCATGAAAAAGCTTTAGACACAAGCTGCATAAAACTAAAGCACCAAATGGAAAGGAACTCAGAGAGACTACAAAAACATGGCCACAAGGCAACAAAGTCAATACGCACAGCAATTGGTTGGGAGTATCTGAAGTGATTGGTTAGTTGGTTACTACCAGTGTTGTTACTACATAAATACTGAGTTGAATGTTTCTACCTACAAAGACAAATAAAACTGAATGTCCAGGGAGTATGCTACTGCAAATAAAGTCCCTATAGTTTGGTTAACCACTTTAAAACGGATTGAGTAAAATAAGAACTGCACAAATAGGTAAAGTAAGAGGTACACAAATTGGTAACATAAATAAAACACGGTGAAATCATTGTTTAATTACAGTGTATAATGGATAGTATTCTACACATGATTCGGACACCAAACAAAACTTAATTTCTTTAACTAAACATATAAAATAATAATATAAATGTTTGAAAACATTATTATAATGTTACATGTTATAACTAAAAACAATAGACAAACATGGTGACTTGTTAGATGTCCTTAACATTTGACAATAAAAAGTATAATTCTGTAGGCACAGGACTATAGGCACAAAATCAAAAAAGATAGTGTTTTTGTGATGAGGTTGAACATAATATCGTGTCCATTTTCTCATTACATTATTGCACCGTCACCTACATAAGCAAGAACCCCCAGTGATATTCAAAATTTAATTGACAACAGTACAATGCTGAGAAACATAGTCCAAAGAGGCTCAATTTGGTCTTCTGATATTTTATGCTATTATGGTCTTTTTTCAAAGTTTGTTTTCATACCTGACAGTTTTGACTGCTCACTAGCGCTTTTCCTTAGAGTGGCCACTGATATTGCTGTGATGTGTCCGGTCAGTTGATTTATAAAGGTTTTGACGCTGGCTTCCTACCGGTGGAGGCAGGAAGACAGCGCCATCTGCCGTCTGACTTTCTCAGGACAGTATCACAGATGTGTGAGAGTAAAAAAGGGCAATAAGAAAACATAATATCAACACACCAGTGAAACAGTACAGAAAAATCAGGGAATTACTCGTCCACCCAAAAGACAACATAGAACCAGAGCATAAATGTAATGTCATATACGAAATACCCTGCATGTCCTGCAATAAAACATACATCAGGGAAACAGGGAGGGCGTTGAGTACACGAAAAAAGTAACATAGTAGAGAATGCAAGAAGGAAAGAGCGAAGGCGTGCAAACAAGCAACAAAACACAAAGCAGAATAGGAAGAACTCAAATTTCTGACCATTGTAATAGAGAGAACCACATTATGGACTGGGATGGAGCAAACATCATTGGGACAGAGGAAAACAAACACCGTTGCTGGATTAAAGAGGCAATTGAAATACAGAAAGGTGCCCAAGGGACTATAAACTAGGACAAGGGGGCTTTTTTACTCTCACACACCTGGGATACTGTCGAAGTCAGGAAGGAAGTCATCCTGCCTCCACCAGGAGGAAGACAGCCCCAAAATCTGTATAAATCAGCTGACCGGACATGTGACAGCAACATCACGTGACCACTCTGAAGAAGACCGCTAGTGAGCAGTCAAAACTGTCAGGTATGAAAACAAACTGTTGGTCTGAAAAAAGAACCTAATAACATAAGATGAGAAACATGTATCCTAATGCAGCTTTATGTCAATAAAATGTAGTGATATTGCCAATTGCATATTTTAACAAATTATTATTATTTTTTTTCTTTATACAAATAAATAATGAAAGAATAAATTAATAAAAGTCTTTTTCAGGAATTTTTTAATTGCTCAGAGGCACTCAAAGTAACATGCAAGGAAACAATGCTAAATATATTATATTTAAAATGTGTACGTTTTTGTCTCTGTCACTCAAATAAAGCACTTTTTAATCACGAAATGTCAGAGCTTGGATCAAATGTATACCTATTATATGAGTTTATATCTGTGCAGTGAAGCAGATATGATTTAGGTGTGACTTGAGCTTGCAAAATGTTAAAATATATTAGCCAAGTGGTAGAACATTTCAACCTTGGGTTAGTACCACAAAATATCATACAACTCCATAAGGCTGAATAAAAGTGCATGACAGTCTGTAGTGTTAAGACTCAGTTTAGTCCTCACTGGAGTCCTCTGAGTTTTCTATGACATCATCCCATGATGCTTTGCTGCCCTCCCAGCTCTTGGACTGAGCGATAACAGCAGGGGGCATGAGGACAACACAGGCGGCCAGCCCAGAAACGCACTCTGTAAACTCAGTGTCTGTGTCCCATTCATCTGCCTCACTATTATACACATGCACATATTTCATTCTGTCACCCCTGTCATGAGAGCGCCCCCCCAGGATGTAAATGCGACTGTCCAGGACCGCCACACCAGGCTCTCCATGACCAGCGGGAAGCGGGCTCACCACAGACCAAGAGTTAGTGGCTGGGTTGAAGCATCCCACCTGTAAGAAATAAGTACACTTTAATAAAGTTTCACAAAAACTCCTGATTTAAGTGTTTAAGCAAAGACACTGTGATGAATACTATGGCTATTATATTACTGTAATTATTGTATAGTTGTAATGCCTTTGTATTATTATAAGATAACATTAAATTAAAGGTGCAATATGTCAAATTCGGCGGTGGCCGCCACATGCCTGCTTCATCAGTATGAAATTGGTTTGCTTGGAATTTCACATATTTTTTCAACTCAAAATTACCCACGAGATGTGTATGTTGCTTATGATACTGCATTATATATCAAAAACAACTAGGAATTACGGTCACATTTTATATAAATTGTAGAGCCCTATTATAATGAATAAATTCTAGACACCAAAGCAGGGGTGGGCAATTATTTTTTCCAGGGGGCCACATGAGAAACAGAAAATATTGTAGAGAGCCGGGCTAAAATGCTTAACTCAATTCTACATAATATTAATTGTACTTCTTTATTAAAAAAAAGCAGTAAACAGCATTGTGTTGTCAAGCTGGTAAGACTGGTAAGAGTATGTGAGGTTGCATTACAAAAAATCTATTTAAATAAAAAACACCTCTAAAATAAAAGCAATGCCGCTTTAGTCCATGCATGAGGTAAAATGATAAAATATGTTTATTTTGTAATTCCAAATCAGCCTAAATGGGCCAGTCAGAGTCAACTAAAAGGCTGTATGTGGCCCGGGACCTGTACCACACCCAGGTTTGCACCAAAGTTAACCTGTATTTAAATCTAACCTCCAGTAGATTGGGGTGTTACCTTGACAACATCTCGGCGATACCCATGTTCATCATTACTTCCCCCGATAACATAAACTCGTCCATTGACTGAGGCCATGCCATGCCAGGCCCGCTCCACTGGCCCCTGAGCGCACTCTGTCCAAGCATTCACTACAGGGTCATAGCAGTAGGTCTCTTTGAGGTAAATATTCCCTCTTCGACCACAAGTGATGTATATTCTTCCATCAACAGTAGCCCCAGCATGTGCGTAGACCTACACATAACATTAGTGTCAATTAGCAAAGAATGAAGTACCACAGAGTATTTTAAGTGTCATGCTTAAATCAATTGAAATAAACCCAATCAGTTTATATACCATTAAAACCAAGTCTAAATAATGCTACAACCCAAAACATGCTACAGGTCTCCAGAAGAGTTAATAGTCAAGGTCAGTTAAATACAATCAATCAATGAACCTGCCCAGGGACTACAGGTGGAAATCAGCACTGATGCTACAACCTGATGTACAATGCATCTCTCCTGTTAAGGTTAATGCAAAAATTGTGCGCTGTCCTTGTCTCAACTAAATAAACAAATAAATAAACAAATAAAATAAAATAAATAAGCTTTTAATTCCACAGCAAGCACCCCGCAGCAAAACTAACTCTAAATCAACACTGGAATTGGAAAAAGACCAACCATGAACTGTTTATAGTGCCATCTTGTGGATACAGGCAGTATTACATGACAGGGTTAGTCATACCTCTCGCTTTAGAGGTGATACATATTCCCATCTGTTAGTGCGTGGATCATAGCGCTCCACCGTGTCTAGTTCGTTGCTATAATCCCGGCCTCCAATGGCATAAATGTGACCACCCGTCACACACACACAGTGGTCCGCATGCTGACGCTGTAAAGGCTGGATAGTGCACCAGCGATTATGGCGAGGATCATACCTGGGCATGGAAGACAAAAAACTTTATAATTAACGAACAACTGAATCATAAACTATTAAGTCAGCTATTAGTAATAAGAAAACATTTACAAACACTTTCTAGACATCTTAATGGAGATACTTAATTTGACAGCACCCCTATCCCAACACACACACACACACACATAACATTAATATAAATAAAAAGGAAACAATCAGAAGTCAACCCATGTTGTCTCTGTGGAGATGTTTGATGCTTTGCCTGAAATGTTTCCTACAGTGGAATACAATGGAACATTTCAGGCAACACATCTTTATGGAAACCAGCTGATGCCAGGCCCTATAGTGCTTATTTAAATCGAAAATTGGAAAAACAAAATACTGAAAAAAGTGAAGAGGGAAGCAAATAACATCTCACCTCCAACAGCGAGTCTCAGCCCTAAACCTCCTGGTATTCTTGTCTCCTCCAATGAGATACACAAAATTGTTGAGCACCGCAATGCCCTGGTTGGACATTTGTGGACCAGGCGCTGCATTCAGCGTCCTCCACTCGCCCCAGCTCGGGTGATACACCTGAAACAGAGGCTCTGGGTCGATGTATGGGATGGAGCAGAACATTCCTCCGAATCCTAGGATACAATGCAGAGTGGAGCGTGGCTGTGTCAGGGGACTTTGGAGGACAGGCTGCAGGATTTCCAGTTCATGATATTTAAGAGCTTCAGAAACCAGATCCCTCAGAGGACACGGGCTGAGTCTGCTGTGCAATCTCTCCAAAATATGCTTCTCAATCAGACAGAAGCGCACGGTCTCCAGCATTTTCAGGTTGTCCTTTAAAATACAATATACACAAATATGATGAAATATGAAGTAGTCAGTGATTCTCAATGCACTCTTCTCATACAAATGTAATATTATCTTTCACCATATGAATAAATATTTTCTTTGGCTTTCCTCCCAACTTCCAACATCCTCCACAAATGTAAACCTTCTCTTTACATTAAGCAGCTTATATTCATTACGTTCATATTCCAAATGCACTTGTGGAGGGTCTGCCACTAGCTTGTTTCCACTGAGATGTAACTGATTGCCAAGAATGTTCCACAATCAGACAAGCAAGTAACACCACTATGCCAAGTTACAGATCAGATGTGTGGAGAGGTGGCTCTGCTCACAGTAATAAGAGAGTAATAATTATAACACCTGTATTTGAATAGAACAGATAAGTTCATGCAATACTGGGGAACATTTCTGACAAAGCAATGACAGTGTGAACCCCCACATCAGAAATGACATAGTGCTCATGTCATTTCTAAATTTTTTGTAACTATTCATATTCAACACATACAAGGTATCCTGGAATCGTGTCTGTGATGGCTGGATTGACAAGTGTATTCACCAATCAGAGAAACACTTGGCTCATTCAGTGTCAAAACAAACATGGATGGCTTTGTGCATTTGGAGAAAATCTTAATAATAAGAAGTAATAGAAACACGGATACTGTGGTTAGAACACCATGCAAACAAGCTGCTAAACTGGGTGATGCTGCATTTATGTGACCTCAAAAACTTAAAACTAGTTTCTGACAGTTTTAGAACACAAAGCTATTTTGTGGTAGAGAATGCAACTAAAACACCATGTACACTTTTTGCTTGCAGAAAATAAGTTCCTTTAATGTTTAGTTCCACTTTAATGTAAGTAATCAATCAATTCATTTCTTCATGCACAATAACATTTGTTTCAGTCAGCAGCAGAAGTACTCAGTTTTGTTACTCATGTAAAAGTAAAAGTATCACAAGAAAAAAGCCTATTTAAGTAAAATTATTAAAATAGCTTTTTAAAAATGTACTGTATTTCACAAGCTTCAAATGTAGTGATTTTGATAAAGATTTGTTCTGAATTTTGTTCAACAAAAACAACTGAATCAATGTATTTTTCTAGCTATTTTGTTTGTGTATTTTTGTTTACTCAAACTACAATTGTGTTAAAAATAGTAGAGTAGAAAGCAAAAATACCTTCTTTCAAATATAGTGAAATAAAACTAAACAGTATCCATTGAAGTAAAGTACAGATACTTAAAATGGACACAGCACTTAACCACTTCTACTTTGTTACATTCCCCCACTGCATGCCATTGCCAGGTGTTTTAATCCTGAAAGTGCAGACACACCTGTTGACTGACCTGGAGGTAGACCTGATCAGTCTCCACCTGCTCGGGGCTGAAGTGAAAGTGTAGTGCTGCCTCGTACACCTCATTCTCGCTGTTCACCTGGAGCTCATTACTGTTGAGGGCTCTGTACACCTCCTCCTGGGGCAGCTGTCTGTACACATCCGCCCGGGACAGGCTATGAATGTTCTTGAGGATGTAGGAGTGGACTCGGGATTTGAGTTGTTCCAGCCCGTAAATATCAGCGAGATGGTGGACCTCTAAAATGTTGGTCTCATCCAGCCATGAGTAGAGAAAGTCACAGCAGAAGCCAATGACAATCTCGAGCTGTTCAAAAGATGTCAAAGTCAATAGATAATGTAATAGTAGTAGTTATTTTTCATGTTTATTGCACATTTTATTAATAGAATTTGAGTCATCTCAATGGCAATGATATGATATGCAATAGGCAATGATAGGCAATGATATGTTTATGTTCAGGAAATTAATCTTGACAATGATTTTTAGTAGTGACAAAATATAATAAAATTTAATTTTGTGATTGATCAGTTCTGGGAGTTGGTTTTTCAGTTCTCCATTAATCAGTTCTAGTATAATATTGGCTACTCTCTTTTATAACTATTGTTTCAATACAGTAGAAAGTACCACTGGAGTGTCAACACTTTTGCTTTTACTCTCACAGCAATAAAAAAAAAAAAAAAAAAAAAAAAAACTTTACCTGTAACAACGTGGCAGCAACCAGAACTTCCTGAACACATTCCAGGTCTAACTCAATCTCTGAAGTGTAGATGTAATCAAGTATTTTCTTCATGGCTATGTATGTTACACCATGAATTGGGATCTCACTTTGTTGCGTCTCGCGAAGCCCTCCAGCAAACATCCCCCTATACACACATAAAGTTAGCTGCACACCTGAGATTCATTTTAATTTATATATATATATAACAATGATACAGATTGTTATAATTCCATTGTCTTCCTTTGTCTTCTTTTTCAGAACAGATTAAGCCAAGCTGTCACATAATACTACACTAAAAGTAACTTTGCAATGTATAGATAAATTAAAATGTCATCTCCAACAGACTATAGCGACAGTACCTGAAGTAGTCACAAGAGGCTGCCAGCAGTATGCGGTGAGCCTGTATGGGTCGCCCCTCCACCTGGAGCACCACATCAAACAGCAGCCCGGACTGTCTGAGCCCCACCAGGCCGTCTAGCAGGCTGCAGAAATGGGACGAGCTCCAGAACGTCTGTCGGCCCTTGCGACTGGAGGACCTGGGGCGTCCTCCAATTGGACTTAAGTCTCTGTCTTCAGCCATAGAAAGAAACTTGTACTCGGGCTTCATTGCGTTATCTGTCGAGTAGAAACCCAATTCTTACTATTTATGTAGGTGATATACTCAGAAAGCTACAAAACCTGAAGGTTTGTCAATTTTAAGGCTACAGCGTTATATACATGCACAGCAAGACAGCAAACGAATGTCATTTCCTCCCGGAGCTTGCCTGCATTATTTATACATTATTTTGAGAGGAAAACCCCCTTCATTGCTAAATGGGCTAACCAAGAACTCTGCTAGCTGAACACAACAAGCCACAATGCAGGGAATTCAAGAAAAACAAAATCACCTTCTGTTAATTTCCACCATTTTCATTTAGATGTCCATGTGACGACGGTCCTTACATGAAATCATTTGTGAGGCCTCTAGATTTTTTGACAGCTCAAAACAAGTCTGTTTACTTTTTGGAGTCAAGCGATCACAGATCAAAAGCTAATTGGTTAATGCTGTACACAGGGACCCGCCCTCTTCCGGATCAACATCCAATCGCAAGTTTTCCTTTTCATAGCTACTTCTTTTACTGAACAAGTGGAACATTTAGAAGCATCGCAATACCTAGGCTTATATATCGCTTATTTTAACTATAGTTATCGTTTACAGTTTTATATATTTAATAATTATACATAGATTTAGTACTTACTAAGAATGTGTCTTTTGCACCTGTAAGAAAATTTTTGGCCACTAGAGAGCTGTGTTGCTCACTTTCGGGAATGCAGCAGGCGCCTACAACATGTTCAATACTAATTAGTTAGTTCAGTTCACTGATAATTGTGTAAACAATGAATTCTTGGGTTTCCATGTTCATTCTGTCTCAGTTGTGTTATTACTAGAGTGTATAATACCTGGGAAATTTGCTCCTCATCGCTTTACATAGGCCTTGGCACAATGTCCTTTTTAATTTAAATTTCCATAATGGTTAGAGTTCCCATCCATCTTCACAGAGATTAAATTGCATATATAGTTTCCCGACATATAACTTGAAAAGCCCTGCTACATAGTTCTTCCCTTGATTTATTTTCCTGTCACATGTACATTACTGCAAGAAGGCAGTATATTTTGTCTTGTGTATTAAAATGCCCTTTCCAAATAGTAAATTATAGAATTCCCCACATTTTTATGCACCACCTAGCTAAAGAAATACCCTGCAGCCTGTACATGGGACATCACCATCACCAGCAGAGCAATCACTCTCTCACACAATTGCTCTGCAATAATGTGGCTTGGCCGCAGCTGCGTCTAAGTTAAATGACTGGATATCGCTGAATAGCCTAGTTATTAGCGCAATGTGGACTGAATAGCTTTTCCTAATGGTAACCATGGCATATGGCATATGGCTTACAACAAAATCACTCACATTAATCTTAAGAATGACCGTTTATTGGACTGTAAGCAAACCTATCCAATGCTTATGTTTCAGATAAGCTCATACGCAAGCAGTCTTTGTGCTAAAGGGATGTATAAGGTTTATTTTATCACTGTACTGCATAGCATAAAATAGAAGCCTTGCATTTACTAGTAACGCTGTGCATTGTCACTCATTTTGCATGCACTTCGCTTGCTCTGCACATCAACAAATAACATGGACATGATATCAGAGTCTGACTCTGTAATATAATGTAAATGTTTAACTGCAATCATTTCTGTTGAGAATCAGACAAGGGCACAATAGGCTAAGAGCCACTTAGTAATTTTACTTAGTGGCTAGGAAAGACTGGCCCTGTTTATGTCAGGCTTCACAGAATAAAAAGCCTGATTTTACCATTACTAAGTGCACAGTGCATTAGGCTGTCTCCTCTCGTCAGCTGTACAAGCCAACTGCAGGTGAAAGTGCAGCACTAGCTGAATTAACTGTCAGTCTTGGCTCATATACATAATATGTGCAGTGGTTATACTGTAATTGGATATATTTTGAAGAGTCTGTAACCTGTAACTTGAAATAAAGTGGTGTGCCCATGGCATCTTTCAAATGAAAATCATTTATAATGTAACATCCAAAAGGAACAGACAACAGACACTATTCAACACACAACAGACTCCAAAAAGAGATTTTTTTAAAAAGTATGCTACAGGCAAATGCCAAAACAAGACGTAAGTGTCCTCTGTTTTTAATCTTCAGGACACTCGTTTGTCCTACAAAACAGTATGAAACATAATGATGATGTAACTGTAGATTGCTTTTTTTCTTTTAGGCATACTAAGGTTGGTCAGGAGGCGTGGTCAATCTGAGTGGCTTGCAGGTCTGTAAGGCTGACCACACCTCAGGGCATAATGGCCAATGTGTGATATGTCACCAAGAAGGGGGGATTTTGACACTTCTATGGATGCAATAGCTGCAAAAACATGTCGAGGAACAGCATCAACATTGTTTATTACAACAGAAGACAACATGAACAAAAATAAGAATCTGCACTAGCTCAATATAATTAAGAGCGAAAACTTAATCAAATGTCCTTGCCCTTCTTTTTCTTTTTATATTGTTGTATACCACAATAGACCTGAACGATCATTTCACTGTGAGCGACTATACTCAGATTTGGCAGCTTCTATATTGACATAGCTGCTAGGTGACTGCAAACCAAGCAATAATTTCTCACTTGCACCAAACCCATTCACACTTTCATCCAAAATTACAGTCTGATCAAGGCTGTAAAGAAGGCAGGTGGCAGGACTGCCATCACTCCCCACGAAGATAAACACTTGAGGCTCAGGAAAAACTGCCATAGCGCATGGACGATTTCTTCAGATTGTTTTGTTTTGCTTACAAATAATTGATCAACGTTATCTTTATAGCCAACTTGCAGTGAGCAAGGAGATTATATTAAATTGTGTGTAATCAGTAATATACTTACAGCAGGATCTGTTAGGGTAAACTTTAGGGGGAAAAGCCAAAGACACCCATGCGTAGCACAATAGGGAGTTAGATAAAACAAACCAACTTAACCAAAACATTGGCCTCTTCTGAGTATATTCTGTTCCTCCCCAAGAATTGAAGATTTCTTGCTGGTAGAGTTTCACAAAAATAATCATAAAATCCAGCCATTCTACTATGTCCATGTGCTAAACAACTCAAAAACAGAATGAAGCCTAATAACTTGATCTGGTTAAAAATATCTGCTATGGGGCATAGATAAAATATTCTAATCTGTACTTGTATTAAAGGTGCATTGTGTAACTTTTCTTGTTGAGGGTCTGTCAAATGCTTTTCTTTGTGGAGATGTTATTTCTTTGTCTAGAATCTTACATAGTATGGCATTAAATCTATTTATCTTCATGGAGAGCAAACCAGACTTAATTACAGGTCAGATCTGTGGAAAGCCAACCCTGTTCACAGTCAGAATGCCTGTTTTTATGTCTGTATATGTATTGTATACTGAAACATTCCAGGCAGAGCAATGACATATCCATAGAAACAAGCAGGTGACTGACCATCCGCCAGAAAAGTTACACAGTGCTCCTTTAAAGAAGGGCTCTTATCTTGTTCTGTTTTTTAAATAAATTATTCTTCCTTTGTTGTGCAGATGTGTTGCTCCTATCACCACCACATTTACATTATTTTGGAGAATGGCAAATGTTTTACTTTACACACCACACTTTTTGAAATATATACCTACTAAGTTAAATTGGATTTGTGGAAGAAGATGAACTTGAGATAAGAATCAGTTGGGAGCCTCATAACTTGTTCCATGCTTCACACATTGCCACACTTTTCCCACTGGAAGGAATTGTACAAGACAGCAGCTAGAGACTGTCAGCCGCCTGTTGAACTGTGTTTGACAGCTTCTCTCTGAGGACGACTTATTCCATTACTAATGGAACAGCACCCTCTACGGTGCATAACAAAATGATTAATTTATACTTAAAACCATATTCACTTCGGCATCCATTTTTTCAGTAGCTTTCTCAAATCACAACCCATGTAGAGTATCCTTGGAAACTGCCATCACTCCTCTGTAGATCTTGCAATGAGGCCAAGCATGAAGAGACCAACACTGGATCAAATTTTAATTGGGAAATAGTTAAAGTCTGGCCAATGACTGCGTAGGTGGGTGCTATAAAATACTCAGCATGTCAGTGGACCTGGATTAAATAGGATTTTTAAAGTCAATATTAACCACCTCTGGTGTGTTTTGGCTGCTCCTCGAATACAGTTGACACTCCTTTTTTTACAGGTGCTATTTTGGGGTGTGACATCTTCCACTTTATTGAATGTGACATTAGAATATGTTGAGCATCATGAGCTGACATGAGCACAGGGTGTGAAGCAGAGAGAAACTGCTGTTACACTGGCAGAGACATGACCGGAGACTACCTCACAGGGCAGGTGCAGGGGCACGATGGGAATTCATATCAATTAAACAGTGAAGGTCAGCAGGTCTAATGTACAATAGATGGATTCTGCCTTATGGTCGACTAATGCAATTGAGTTTTAATAAAGCTCTATCTCTGCTCCTTCACTGTCCAATTTTCTGTCTCCCAGTCTTTGCTATAATCCATTTCCTTTTGGAGGCTTAATAGCAGTTTTCTTGGGCTAAAAATATACGCTTGCACCATTAGTCTATATCCATAAAAAACATTCTTCGCAGACATAATTGAAAAGTGAAATGTCAAAACAATGATAAATAACTTCAGGTTTTTGCATTTTCTTTAAGAATCATGAATCAAGTGATAACCAGTTGATTCACCATACATCATACCGGTGTGTTGCATAATGGCAAAATTAGCACTTGGAAGTTGCAAGTTTAATTGATTATTTGTCATCTACATTGACATTACCTCCAGTATTAGACCAAGGCTTATCCATAGCCACTAATTGGAATCAGTAGATGAATGAATGTTGATATTACTTGTTTTTGACAAATTCATAGTTTTAATTATGTCCAAGTATATACTGTATAGCCTTTGTGACATCTATATGTGTGTGTGTGTGTGTGTGTGTGTGTGTGTGTGTGTGTGTGTGTGTGTGTGGGTGTGGGTGTGGGTGGGTGTGTGTGGACATGTCACTAAAGCATTGCATACTGATGTAAGTAAGTAAAGAGACACTTGCTTAGGTACCTAAGCGAGTTACTACACGGGGGCACACATCATAGTGACTGAAGACTTAAAAACCATAATAGTTCTTTAAAGATGACATTTATCTATTCTGCAATATGCATTACTCCACAGATAGTGCTCTGTTAGGGAATAAATGTGCATGCAAAAGTCCTATTTTATCAGGGGGGCAGAAGGGCGCACTCCGTCACATGGGATTTGACTGATGCAAGCTTCTTCCAGCAGCATGGCATTTGTTCAGAACTGGGGTCAACTAAGAAGCCTCTGGGAATCTATGGGATGCGATTACAATGATAGTGTCACGACTCACTTTAACATGAGGCCAGGTCACAGTTTCCACTGAACATAATAAGGTTACAAAGGAGAAATTATATGCTTTAT